ACGGCTTACTGTACAGAATATTTTGAAGCTTTACAACACCACATAATAATTAAATATAGTGAATTTCTGGTGTAGCACTAAATAAGCTATGGCGAATCTAAAAAGCATAAAAGTTAATCGCGAAAACGTGCAGGGGGCCGTATCGCGCGGCCCCTACGGTTTGTAGTAACAACCACCTCATTATCCTCCACATGAGCCTCAGGTTGCACTCTTGGCTTTGCTTGCCTAGAAATTTGCTCTGTGGGTTTTTTTGAAGCCTTTGGAGTTGATATAACATCATTTTGAAGCTGTAAATCAGCTAGCTTAGCCAATTCTTGCTCGTCCTTAAGCCGTTGCTTTTCCGCAGCCTCTTGCTCACGCTGCTCACGTTTTTCTTGTCGGATTTGAGCTCTTTTAACCTTTTCGGCCTCTTTAGCTTGCTTTTTAAGCTGTTGTTGAAGCTTTTTATCATCTTTATGAGCCTGCTTCTGCGCGGCTTCGTCATTTTTTTGAGAAATAATATCACGAGCTTGCTGAACCTTAGTAGGGCTCATAAAAAGCGCTCCACCATCTTGTTCTGATGGTAAACCTAGTAATAAAGGCTGTTTCTTGTTTTTAGGCTTCTTTGCATTTATGAGAGCTCTTTTCAGGCCTTGATTCTCATTTTGAAGCAAGATAAGCTGAGTAGAAAGATGTGACACCGTTTCTCGAAGCTGTACAGCCTTTTCATCATAAATATTGTTAACAACAGTTTTAACAAGCTTCTCAAGCCGTCTCCAATCTTCTGGAGGAATAATTGAAGCTCCGGATTCGCTTGAGAATGGCCGGCTGGTGATTTTCTTGTTGAATTTGTTGATAACAATCTCCGGATCAAAGGGATATAGACCAGTCGTTCTGAATGCTGAATTGATATTCTTGCTTATAAAAACCTCATTCCAGCTAGCCCAAAAAAGGCGAAAAAAGTCACGTTTAGTGAGCCGGGTGAAGCCTTGGCTATCCCTTATAAAATCATCCAATTGCTTCGTATAAGCGTTAGAAAGAGGCGAGAAAAGAGCGACATCAAGAGGCTGTAAAGTATGTGTTGCATGAGCCGGAAAGATTGCTAATAGAATTCGATTCGAGTCGCAGTATTCAATAAACTTCATTGTAACGTGGGATCCATGCCCATCGAGGATAAGAAGGCGCCATCCCCGGCTTGCTTGAGATTTTGTCTCTTTATCAAAAACATCCACCAACCAGCGATATCCGATATCATTATTAGTCCACCCTGACTCTGAGGCTGCAAAGAAGCATCTCTGTGTTTGGGGATCGTAATCTTGAAGCCAAGAATCCTGTATAAAGCCCGATTTTGCCATATAAATAAGACTAGGCGCTAAAGCAGTTCCATTGGCACAGATACAACCAATTGTTGTAATCCATTCTCGATTTCCATCCTGAAGATGCTGCTTATAGCCCCCTTGCTCATATTTGCGCCGAGTAAAGATTCTTTTCCGTTTTGTGCTTACTCCAAGCATGAAGCCCTTCTCATCCATATTATAGATTTGCTCTGGGCCGAGGTTATATTCCCGTATTTCCGTCCAATAAGCTCAAATATAAAGCATATTTATATGCCGAATCTGCCTTTTTTCTATCCGAATCAAGGCCCGTTGAATAGCGAGAAATCACCTTATCCGAATGAGCCTTGAGCCAGCGTGAAGCCCAGTTTTTCCCAGGCTCTTTACCAGATATTTCTCTTGCAAAGTTCGCTAACATTGAATTTGTAGGGGGCAGGCCTCGCTCGGTGAGTTGATTTATCCATTTTATAAGCGCTCTTGATTGCGTGGTGGTGAGTATTCGTTGCTTGTCGTATTGCTCTTCTTTTGAGCCTGTAACACCGTGAAAACGTTTATAAAGGCCCGATTGGCTAACGCCGTATGTTCTTGCAACCAAACTAATATTAGGCTTTTCTCCAGGATCCGCTGAATGTAATGCTGCAAGTGCGAGCTCCATTGAAGCCATATTGGTTGATATATCGCGGTGTGAAATATTCGCGATTTTTCGCGTTTTGGGGTAAATTTATTCCTCAGGTGGGTTTATTCCTCAGGCGGTGAGGGACGGTATATGGTAAGATGTTATCCACTCTGTTTATCGAGAACACGTGAAGATAAGCTTATCAGCATATGACTCCACCCGCGGACCAAAATTTGTTTCGATAAAATTGCGCCGAGCTTCTTCATCACTTCGAAGAATCGCATTACGCAAGACAATGGTTGCAATCATAAATACAACGCCAGTTGCTGGCGAGAATGAGCAAAAGTCATCTGTTGATCATCTTTCGACTGTTTTGGAGACATTGACAGCATGCCTCAACAGCGCCTCAACTTCACTACCTTCACCTGTTCAAACCGAAGAAACGTCGTTGAGTCCTACGATATTACCTCCCGCGGATGGAATCTCGCTATTAGACACAAAGGCCGAACTACTACTCTCCTACCTACAAAATCTCGTTTTTCTTGTCCTTTTTCAACTACGAGGACGCGGAAAGAATGATGCTCAAGGCGGAGTTTCGCAGGAAGATATTGTCAAGAAATTGACAGAACTGAAGGTTTATCTCGACCGAGGTGTTAAGTCCCTGGAAGGAAGGTTAAAATATCAGATTGACAAGGTTGTCAAGGCGGCAGAAGACGCAGAGCGGGCGGCAAAAACCTCCAGCAAAGTAGGAAGAAAAATCAAAAAGAAGAGTGAAGACAACGATGGAGATGAAGATAGTAGTGAATATTATGAAGATGCGTCCAATAGCGACGAGGATGAAGAGGCATCCGAAAGCGAAGATGAGGATATTGATGAAATGGCGTATCGACCTAATATAACCGCCTTCTCCAAGGATGTACAAAAACCAAACAAAGAAGTCAAGACAACGACTTCAAAGGACCGGAAAGATCAACCATCGGACGGAATATATCGACCACCCAGGATTAAGCCGACAGCATTGCCGACAACTGAAAGTCGTGATCGCGATCGTGAACGCCGACCAAAGAAATCGAGCGTCATCGATGAATTCGTTTCAGCGGAGATGTCGTCAGCGCCAATCGCAGAACCCAGTATTGGAAGCACAATCCAGCGTGGCGGACGGCAAGTCATGTCTCAACAAGACCGTGCACGTGAGGCCGAACGTCGTACATATGAAGAAACAAACTTTGTGCGCTTGCCCAAGGAAAGCAAAAAGGAACGCGCAAAGAGAAGGGCTGCCGAAGGGCCTCGTTCTGGTGGCTTTGGAGGCGAAGATTTTCGTTCATTGGGCGAAGGAGCGGACAGAATTGCCAGACTTACCAAGAGATCTGCAGGTAGTAGGGCTGGAGCGTTGGAGAAGAGTCGAAAACGAGCATTTACGGAAGATGGTCCGAGAGGTGATGGGGCAGCTGTTGGTCAATCATTCGAGAAGAGGAGGAAGAAAGTAGAGGGATGGAAAAAATGATTCAACAAATGCATTTTCAATACCAGGTTTATCAATATCATGGTGTTCATTAGGTTTCACGTACGTAATCCTATGTGGATATCCACGCAAGTTTCTTCCATCTTATGCATATCGTCAAGCTGGTTTAGCCAAATTTCTGATGTCATGTACATATAATCCACAATACATTGAATCCAGCAACAAAATAATCATGCCGACTATCTCTTCCAGCCTAGCTTGATATCATATTTCTCTTAAAATCCACACTTTGACCCATCTACCTGCTCATAATCAACCGATACACTTCCAAACTCTTGCGCTTGACCATGAGTCAATTTGTCTAAGACCTTTTGCGCAACATTGAATTGGCCAATAGCAGAATCAATGGCCAAAACATAGACAGTCTCATTCTTGTATGATAACGAGTAGCAAGCGCCACAGTTAACATCGTTCCAGCCCTTGACAGTCAAAGAGCCCGCAACATCCTGAGTGGGGAGGTCGCTGATGGTATTGTAGCCCTTTGTCACGAGTCCATTTTCACCGTTGGAGCAGGTTACTGTTGATAAGGAGAGGTTTGCGTCGTCGTAAGCTGTGTCGAAGGTTGCTAGGGTTGTTTCGGTCGTGTTTGCTGCGAGAGCACCTGATGCAGAGAGTGTGAATAGGGCAGCGTGGAAAGTGGTAATTTTCATTTTGACTGGGCAGACTATTGTAGCTTGACTGCTATTTTCAGTATTTTTTTGCCGATTGAATGCTAGACCTTCACGTGGACAAGGCTTGATAAAAACAGTTTGTAGAGACTGATGAATGCCGATGTTGATAACTACTCAAGACTGATATTACCTGGCCTATCCTTATATACGTTATTTTACGTCAATGTCTAGATTTCTCTCCGCCGATGAAGTCCGGACATTCCAAAATTAAATATAAGAGGCTAAGAGCGCGTGATGTCTCCATTTTCCACAGTAAATGACGTCCGTCACCATCTCGTAGACGCACAACCGGCAAGGATTTTACCGATGAATGCATTCTATATTATATTTTGAATCTCAGGATATAATCAAGCATATGCAAGAAGGGATAAGTGGAAATCTTGACTCGTTTAGATCTACTCCGTATCGCTGCGAAGGAGCTTCACGACAGTTCGATCTCCAGGATGAAGCGGGCTGGGACAGCCTGCTGCAAGAATGCGTATTTTCTCAAATTTCAGAAGTTCATCAATTGCCTACCAATCATGGTCTTCCGTATAACTATCACCTAATTTCACTCTGAATGACAATTTCGTCTGCACAAAAAGAGATTGGTGTATATCCCTGTCCATTACTGTTACAGTGTGGGTGATACACATTTCCACATGAGTTTTGATACTTCCAAGGTTTTCCGTAGCCAAAGATATGAATTTTGCAAGAGTGTTTCCAGTCTACATATCGATGAAGAACCGGTCTATCCGTGGAATGCCAATGCATTCCTGTGGTCAGCTGAACTGGTGCATATTCTCGACTCTCTTGGCCATGTACTTGATATTCCTCAGTATTTGCTACACTTCAGACATTCCTTATAAGCATATTAGTCTCGTCTCCATAATTTCTAGCTTGTATCGATATATCTGTGTCGTTGCGATGGGTTGTCGTCGGATTAGAGTTTCGATTAAGCCTAGCCGTTCATTACCCAATTTGGAATTTTTCCCTAACGTCCCAAAAGCCCTAATTTTAGTTAAGTCTGGCCAGCGATGACGTATTTCCGCTCTGTGAATTCAGTCTGTCCACAGTATACTAGTTTCAATTTAGAGTTATGAATATTATGAGTCAGGAGGATAAGTAATCATAAGATACGACACAGGCTGGCTGGTATGATAATAGCTAGGTTTCGAGGAAGAATGAAGGGAATAAGGGAATGAAGGACGCACTACCCTCTATGCAGCCTCTAAGATCGCAAACTTCCTAAACTCAAGAATGTTGCAAAAGCCTAATGGGCATTCTTTGGCGGCTGCTGTTGCCTTATGCAGTACGTTCATGATTGAAATTGAAGAGTTCACGTAGTATATACATCATGATTAGCTTCACACTGCTAGCACCTATGTGGACCATTCTACTTTGCGCCTCATAGGCTATATCATTTCAGGGCTTTCATATTCCATCCTTCATAAGTAGATCAGGCGCCATTCTCTGCACATGACAAGAATCAAGATCTTGATAACTTGTTGAGAAAGTATTCCTATGTGCATTTCAATGCACCCTGGAATAAACCCAATCATGTATGAATGTATATGAAATATGAATGGAAGCATAGAAAATTCTATTTATGGATGAAGGCCCAGTTCAAGGACAAGCTGAGCAAATACTCCACCGACGACAGGTCGGTTGATAAAGTAAATGCCGGGGTAGTCACCGGTAACAGTGTCGTACAAATCGGTGAGAGCACGGTTGGTAGGGGTTACATTAATCCAGTTGGCGAGGTCAGAGTAGAACATGTCCCGGGTGGACTCGCTTGCAATTGATGCAGCCCATGCTTCCCAATCGCCTGTTTACGAAATCAGTACTTATAGCTCTTGTGGGGAGAGCAAAAGTCAAATACACACCTTTAGTATAAGTGTGGCGAGTATCAAGTGGCACTCCGTACTTGCCATTCACAATCGGGTAAAAAGTGCTCTGCATGTCATAAACAGACTGTGGAACAAGGTTCAACCCAAGTTCTTTGTCGCCGAACAAGTTGTACAAAAGACCCCAAGAATTATTCGATCCGTATGAAAGTGTCGAATGGGGAGGGTTTGCAGCGCTGTTGATGCCTAACGTTTGCCATTGACTGATGTAGTCGCTGGCAATGGAGCTGTAATTCGAAGCGCTAAGGCTGTTGCCGGTAGCATTCGCAATAACTGACATAGCCTTGATGCCAATCATTCCCTTGAGAGCCAGATTGGTTTGATTTCTGGTACAGCAGTTCCTTATTAGTCTTGCGTTGCAAATTCGACAATGAATTACTTTAAGAAGGAAACTCCACTTACGCAAGTGATCCAGCAAAATCATCGGTGGAGATTTGATTGGCTGGGTAAAGAGCTTCGTCGACCAAAAACTGTGTCCATTGATCGAGGAGCTTGTAATGTTTGGTGAGGAAGTCAAGGTCCTTCGAAGCCAAGTAGTATGCAAGAGACATAATCAACATGTTACCACACTCCTCCAGAGGCATCTGTTCATCGTTGCCATCAGTGTGGCCGGTGGCATTGGGGTAATGGCTGCCTACGTCGTGCATCGACCATCGGTTGGGATATTGTCCAGCTTCTTGATTCTCAAATAGAGGAGCCATGACAAGTTTAAGATATGCCGGATTGGTATATAGGTAGGCAGGATGAGCTGGGAAGATCACATCGACAGTATTGATGTTGCCATCAGATGAGATTTCTTTCATGAAAACGTATTGCGTCTCATTAGTACCGACGAGCTGGGTTGCACCAAATGACTGCCGAAGAGCCAGAGTTGCAATAGTGGCATAATCATCACTGACTGCCGATGCATCTGACTGCACCTTATCATCCAGGGAAGAGGATAATGATTTAGCGACTTCATAGTCATTCTGGAAGAAGTGCAGTGCTGAGATTTCGTCCGGGAAGTATTGTGTCCACAGTGAGGGCAACGGAACAACGCCTTTTGCACCATCAAACTGAATTGCATCTTCTTGAGTGAGGCCGATAGTGAACAAACGGCTAGTCGATCTGGTTCCCACTCTTCCCAAGTCGAACGCGTGCGCGAAAACAGGCCATTTATCGCTGATAGCACGATAGTTGGTGTCCACGGTATTTTTCAATTTGCCTTCATTGCTGAACTGACCACGCACATCAACATCGATACCGGATTCATAAGTATAACCCTTATCTGCAGTGGTGGAATACCACCAGTTACCATACTCGGTCTGATCGTTGATCTCTGAGAATGCCAGTTGCGTCTGACGATAGACTTTGTGATATGAAATTCTCCCACTGGTGCCATATTCCCATTGTGCGACATTGCTGCGGTCACCCGAGACCCATTCTACGAGGTGTTAGCCTAGATATTAGAAAGCTAGAAGAGCTCTCACTCACCAGCAGAAATGTCTGTGTACAACTGAACATCATGTTCTTTACCATCCGAAGACACGACCTCGACATTAATATAAGAGAAGACGAGTGACTGACGCAGGAAATCATCGGGAGTTATAGGAGACAAGAAAGTAACCGTTATCTGTACCTTTCCCTCCACAGATTGAACGTATACACTCGATGTACTTGTATAACTGTAAGAAGTCTGGTTGACAAAGGGCACATTGGCGGGATTTCCAAGCCAGCAGTATGCAGTGCCATCAACCTTGATGAGTCCAGTCCAACCAAGAGTTTGTCCACTGAGCGGTAAAAGCAAGTTAGTCGTAGAGGACAGAAAGTCTCGTAGAGCTTTTGTTAGGATTCACTCACGGCCAAAATGAGGGCCATTGACCAGCAAGATAACCACCATTTCCCCCATCACTTCCGACGGTCTGCCATGCGCTCAGATACGGAGATCTGACGGCTAATGGTTGAGCTGGTGGGCGAGCTGGAGAGAAAGTTGATGCAGCCCTGATCGACGGCAATAAAGCCAGAAGTAAGGACACCAGGAAAAATGGTGTCATCTTGTTTGTAGGTACGAAATGTACCTTGTCAAACCCAAAAATTTCCTTCAGAAGAAACTCGGTACTCAAGGTCCTTCCAGGGCTCGGTTATGCTAGTTATAGGGCCTATAAGAGCATATGTTAGATAAACACTCTAAGCAAAATATCAACTTAAGGTAAATGCAGAATGTCGGCCTTAGCCACTAGAACTCTCTTTCTCGCCCGGAGAACGACTCCAAATGATCTTGGTGAAATGTCTAGCCTGAATGGCGAATAGAAAACATTCTTAAGCAAATTAGGTCCAAATTAGATAGTGACCAGACCTTTCTAGCCTGTGTCTAGACAGGGGAAAGGGGGAAAGGGGAGCAGTTTGAGTAGGGAATGGTGGGTGCCACTGGGTGGAGTATGATGGTCAGGTACCGCACCTGGTGATGAGAGATGATAAATAAGTTTAATTTCTTCAAGCAGTGGGCGATCAATTAAGATCTCCCTGCTCTTGGCGTCAGGATGTAGAATATGACTCGCCACGTTGTTGATAAATAGGTCGTGTAACCACGCGAGCAAAAAAATGCAACAACAATCGGGAAATGCTTTGAGGGTAATGGTGATCAGATACGTACCTCAATCAAGCACCGGAAAAGTTCACTAGGGCACGAACAAGCGGAAGACTTGGAAGAAAATCAAATATGAAGTCTGGCGCGACGAAATGTCGCCCAGCTTTATACTCAGCTACGTAAAGGTATCACTGGCGTAAGAGGGGTGATCGTCCAATGCATTAGCCGCGCACAAGCACAATCACAAGAATCTGATTTTCTATAGACCGGGGGAATAGTAGGTAAATGAGGGGAAATACTACCATAGGGCCGGTCTTCTAATAACTGGAAGTAGTATCAAAAATGGACGAAAGGGGTTGATTACCAGCGGTCAAGCCCGGAAAACCGGCTTATGTATGTATGTAGCCATTAGTTACAAGTTGCTACCAAGTCAAGCCAAGATACAGATGGAGATGAGTAACATACAGCCCTGTAAGTATAACTATTACATTATGAAATGGTATGTACGTGCGTCCCACTACTGGTCATATAAGGAATAGAGCATATCTACATGGACAGCATATCGACTCCCGGACTGCGGGGAAGCAAGGGATGGATATACCTGCGCGCAGGATTGTACTACGTAGGATTGTAGTATTTCATGGTGATTTCGTTTCTTTCGCGTCACAAAGCGAGTTCGGACTTGCCATGCTAGGAATGATCATCATAATTTAATCTGCATCCATACATAGTTAACCTTTGCTAAATTCTCTACCCCGCAAAATGTCTTGCTGGAGATGTTGGAATCAGCAAAGTGTCTGTAGATCCGGCGAGATCTCCGCTGGCGGCCAACAAAGGCCGTTGACGATGCTACCTAGGTACGAATCGAATGGCGAAATGAACAGAAAAATGAAAGACGTTAACTGGATCCTTTCGATGACGATCCTATTACCAAAACCAGATCGATCAAAAACATGTGTCATGATGCAAGTACGTACGGGGATAGAGTTTTATAACTCGGAGAATAATCCTGGGGATTACTCACCTCCATCGTTCAAAAGCGCACGTATAAGAACACTCAGGCCCAGCCCGAAACAACCCTATTTATCTGGCTATTGACTTCCGAACTCTAGATGTCTTTCTAGGTCACTCCGTACCTAAATGGATGGTAAGGTCGGCGACTATCAGGAAACTAGACAAGCAAATAGCTCTCATGCGTGGCAATGTAGTTTGAGAGCCCAAAAATATGCTAACTGATGCCGCCAAAGACACCATTGCTGAGAAAACCAGCCGTTGACCAAAAGTTGCTCCTCTTTTGGATGGGTGTATAGGCTAGCTCAACTTACGTAGCCCGGCTGGTCAACCGTAAACTGGTCGGCCTACTCCCAAGGTCTATTGTAGGATTGTGGATTAATGGCATTGTCGACAAATAAAGATATAGTAGTATGGCCGGATGGCTCCCACGCATCAAAATCGCGGGGGCGTTAGCTTGATACCTTCAGGGTAGGTTACTTTGAGTTGTTTCAACGGGGCAGTGCTATGAACGCCTTAAGGTCAAATTACTGGAGGTGAAAAGTCTATTGATTGTAAATTCTATGCAGTCATCTTCAAGCAAATCTAGGCTTCTTTTTAGCAGTAATTCAAGTATGGCCTTATTCCCCCAAGACTTACCATGTAACATTGACCATCCTTGCAGCGCCAATAGTATAACGATCCGTGAATTAATAATGAGCTGTCAGCCGACTCCTTAGTCGACAGGGTTCTATCGCGTGATAATTCCGATCAGCTGACATACATGGTCGATGTTCGTCGATCACAACCATTGGAAGCTTTGTACGTCGAACACATGTAATTGACTGCATCTACAGAGTTAATGAGAATTGACCGGAAGCTGTATGTGGGAATAAGGCGAATTTACATGAAGAGGCCATCTGCATAGCTAGAATCAATGTGCCCACTGTAATGATAAATCGATCAATACAATAACTGTAAGGTAACTGAAGTACATGTTCCCTGCTTAGGACGGTTAGGCTATCATTCTTCTTTAGACCTCAGATTAGAACAAGCCCTCCTTTTCAACCGACTCCCTCTTTCTCTCTCTCTTTACCTTGTACCAGATCTCTTATAGAGATATCCACAAACTAACATTAGCCTACAATTTGCTTCAGATAGCTAGGAGAGCTGAAAATATTGTATCTGTGCCCAAGTAGCGCCCTGACCCCAGATCCTAAAACACCTCCTCAGCTGCGCTGCGGTCACGTGAGTTGTCATACCCTAATATTCCCTAAATTGGAAAGAGTCCTGTGATGGTATTAGCACGGCCAAAGAGGAGGATATATTGCACGTGGGAAGAGACTGTTACTACAAAAAATTAGGCCGCGTTACTCAAATAGTCAATTGGAAACTGCACAAAAAGGCGAACTTCAAATAAGCTTCTTTGATAAGATGCAACTTGGAGTCTGGAGATAAACTTAGATAGTTTTGTGTCTCCTCTGTGGTGCTCAATTCGATTGATCCTTGATTAATCTGTTTTATCTATATAAATGCGTGCCCTGTTTTTCCCATTTCGTTTTTGATTGATCGTTCCTATGAGGCGTTCATATTCAAAAATCAATTGTCCCACCTTCGTTGGCTACAGATGCATTTAAGCCGAATAAGTCCTTGGAATAACTATAGAAATGCTGAAGATTCCATATAATGACCTTGCCAGAATACATAGAAAAGTGATTTGAATATGACTTGAAGGTAGGTAGATACCGCTTAGATAGGCAGTAAGTAGGAAATCCGCAAACCAAAGCACACATGCATGGAACTCGTTTGTAAGGGAAATATCACTTGCAGATTTTTACAAATCTACCAGGTTCTCTCATCTCCTGAATCGAACCGGGCCAAGCCGTGCTGATTTGACTGTAGCGATAGAATTATTTCAAGGTTCATATGCATATTAGGCCGCAATATGAAAATATTTCTCCGTACACTGCAGAGATAATATTGTACGGTTGAGCTACTTAGAAGAAAGCATAAAAGGAAATTCTACATGATTGAATTTCAACAATAATACAATTCTTGTGAAATGCCCGCAAACCGTCACTAGCCATGGAGCATTTCGTTTGAGGCATTCCCACCATCTCCGAGGCTTCTTGGCAAACGGTATTAGTGTGCAAAGATGAAATGAGCATGAATTCAATTCTAATAACACGGTAGTTAAGATGGTATCTCAATGAAAGCATTTCATCCAATTCTTACTAGGCAGGTCCTGCATCAAGACGATAAAGGGCACGGGATTATCTTGGTTTCTGATAAGCAGGTGATACGCCATAATCAGCGCAGATTCCGGAAGATAAAATCACCAACACTATTGCAGAAATGGATATCACATTTCGGAGGTTTAGATTTCGAGGGGTTGCGTTGTGAAAAGCCACAGGCGACGGCGTCCCCTTTTTGGCGTTGGTCTCACTCCACACCGACTCCACCTCGTGCCTTTTTCAAGCTTGTTTCTTTGCGGCGAACGTTCAGCTCGATCGTCAGCGTTTGTGAACCGATCACAATTTCATTTATCGAGCGCCATGGTCAGAGCCTTTTGTTGACCATGACTATTAAAAGTTTGGCGAAAACTCAATTATCAACCTCGGCAGGACAGATTTCTTAGTTATTCACTGGGAACTGGCTGCTTATGAATTATGAAGTTGAATGCGACGTTAACTGATAAGTCAAACGACAAGAGTGAAATGCATGCATGTCTTTCTCCTAGTGCATCCATGACAGGTAGTGAGTCTACGGAGTACGCTGTACAGTGTACTCCGTATGCCCTTTGGCTGATATTCTAACTTACCAAGTACCTACCTAGTTAGTGCTAGCTACTCTATGAGTCTATAGTAGCTATCAGGAGCTAAAGAGCAAAGAACAAATGAGGGGTTTAGACCCGACAACAAAGATAATATGGTGGTAACTGATCGGCGAGACTAACTGACTAGTAACGAATCAGCCCGAGATCGCAGAATATAGCTTCATTCTAAATCTCTTAGGTAGCGAACCAGGCCGTGCCGACACACTAAACTGAGCAAACGAATTGCCTGAGCTGAAGATACTAAAAGAAAACAAGGTCTGGGCAAAGTGGTGCAATTGGTGATTGATCCAGCTAAGCCTGCAACGTACTGTAGCTCCCCAGAGCTTGTAGAATGTCTTATTTGAGACTTGATCCTCGAAATGAGTGCAGGTCATGCATGGTAAGCTTAGTATTGTCCCTGTACATTCGGTCACACATGATAAACCTGTAGGAAACCGATACTTTCCAAGGCTATAAGAGAGCGGTAACGTTCGAAATCTTGTCTTCGGTTTCCTTAATGATCGAAAATGTCTGGGAAATCATTCGCAATGAAGTCTTCTATTCTTTTGCTGTCACTGGCTGCAGCAACCACTTTAGCTGCTCCAGCTCCAAGCAAGAGCCATATTGTTCACGAACGACGGGGTGTCTTACCAGCATCTTGGGTAGAGCCTCGCCGTGTCGATGGCCAGGCTAAATTACCCGTAAGAATAGGATTGACTCAATCCAATTCGGATGTAGGCCATGACCTTCTCATGGACGTGTGAGTTATCCTCAGATTAACCTGCTTTCCAATCCACACCATACTGACATGCAATGTCTTCAAAGCTCGAACCCTTACTCGCCCAACTATCGCAAATACCTGACAGTCCATGAAGTCAATGATCTATTCGCTCCTGCAGAAAGTGCAGTTTCGGCTGTTCGAAACTGGCTAGAAGGTGCGGGCATTGCTTCTGATCGTGTTAGTCAATCTACCAACAAGCAGTGGCTCCAATTCGATGGAGATGCCGAGGAGCTCGAGCGTTTGCTCGGGACCGAATACTACATCTACACTCATGCTAGTAGTGGTAGAACGCATTTGGGATGTGAAGAGTAAGTTTATTCATTCAATATTAAGTATGCATCTAACCTTGCTGCAACAGATACCACATCCCGAAACACCTTAGCGAGCACATTGACTACATCACTCCTGGTGTCAAAACACTCGAGGTCCGCGACGCTCGTCCTGCTGAACTCAAGAAACGCAGTTTCGGACTCCAAAATCCAATCCCACCTCTGCTGAAGGACCTTCCCGAAACCATTGAGACCATCATCGAGCAACTCTTCAGTAGTACCCTTTGCGACTCCGTCATCACTCCAGATTGCATTAGAAGTAAGTGGATACAATTCCACACAGAGTTTGAAATATGGAAAAGAACGAAATAAGCTGACTTTGTAAAGCTATGTACAACATCACCGAGGGAACAACGGCCACCAAAGGCAACGAATTGGGTATCTTCGAAGATCTGGGCGATTATTATGCTCAGAAAGATTTGGACCTCTTCTTTACTACAGTTTATCCGTATGTAGCCTGGATCTCTGCTCCGAAGCTTTTGAGCATTAACATGTTACCACAGCAAAATCCCCATAGGGACTTCCCCAACCCTCAAAGGAATTGACGGCGGCTCAGCTCCTACCACTCTCACCAACGCCGGACCGGAATCAGACCTCGACTTTCAAATATCCTACCCCATCATCTGGCCACAAAATGCAGTCTTGTTTCAAACGGACGACGCCAACTATGAAGCCAACTACACCTTTAACGGCTTCTTGAACAACCTTCTTGATGCTATTGACGGCTCTTACTGCACATTTTCCGACTACGGCATTACAGGCAACACTGACGACGACCCGTCATACCCAGACTCAGCATCGAATGGGTACAAAGGTAGCCTGCAGTGCGGCGTCTACAAACCCACAAACGTGATTTCCATCTCCTACGGCGGTGACGAATATGGTCTATCAGCCAACTACCAGAAACGCCAATGTGATGAATTCAAAAAGCTCGGACTACAGGGTGTATCCGTAGTGGTATCCTCCGGAGACTCTGGTGTTGCAGGCTCAGATGGGTGTCTAGGTGATGATGGAACCATCTTCAACCCTGACTTCCCTTCTGGATGTCCCTACATCACAACTGTTGGCGCCACGTACCTTCCCTCTGGCACCAGCCCCAATGGAGACAACGAAGTAGCCGTATCTCGATTCCCGTCCGGTGGTGGCTTTAGCAATATCTACCCACAGCCATCATATCAAGCGGAGGCAGTCAACACCTATCTCACAAAGCACACACCTCCATACAAATCATACAATACTAGCGACAACACCGACATTGGAGCCAATGGAGGCATCTACAACGCCGGCGGTCGTGGTTATCCCGATGTGGCTGCGGTAGGTGACAACGTCCTCATTTACAATGCCGGTCGCCCAACTTTGATCGGAGGAACCTCAGCGTCAGCACCTGCATGGGGAGCAATCCTGACGCGTATCAATGAGGAACTATTGGTTAAGAAGGGCACAACTGTTGGATTCGTGAACCCTATACTTTATGCTCACCCTGAAGTGTTCCATGATATTACCAGTGGTAACAATCCGGGCTGTGGTACCGATGGATTCGAGACGGCACCTGGTTGGGATCCTGTGACGGGATTGGGAACTCCAAATTACCCTGCTTTGTTGGCTCTTTTCTTGGGAGAGTAATTATTTTTTCTTTTGGCTTTGCAAAGGAATAGAGGATCTTTCTGTATCTTTTGTAAATACAATCAGGTATAAGGGCAGAATTACTTGCCAACTCATTTTGAATGAGGACAGCTCGCTTATAACCCAACAAGAGTGATTACATACTCTTCTGGGCCGCTGACTATGATAGGCGGAAAAGTGTTAGTGTATCCTGCTTCAATTTGTGTCGTAGTAGATGCGCTTCCTCAGGTGCTGTAGAAGGCAAGATACGGATCGGAGTATTTGGCTCTAGTGTTGGATGTGGATATCCTAATCTCTGAAGATGATTGCCCAGCTGAATAGAGGTGTCTCTAATAGTTCCCAACTTTTCGATCAGAGACGATGAAACATTCTCCAGGTTAGGAAGTCCGTTTTGGGCCATTATGGATTTTGCTGTATAGCTGTCAACGATATAGACAGTTCCTAGAATGAAACGGACTGACTATAAGCTGCCCAGGATAAATTGGCTTACTGAATTGATAAGTCGTGCGTCTTTAGTAGTAGTACATGCAGGCGCCAAATGGGTTGTTTTCGTTCTGAGGCTATTCGGATGGCGATGCTGTCACTCGGATTCCGAGCAACAAACCAATTCGGCTTACGAACCAACTCGTTTACCATCACATCTGTTGTTTTTTATCACATTTCCGTAATTTTTATGTCAATATAGCCTGATATTTGGTGATACTGAACGCTGTCGGTGTGTCGTACTAGGGTCGAGAACATCAACGTCTTGCCATAGACACTAATGGGCGACGTTTATAAATCATGGCGCCAGTCAGAAGTATAAAATATTGCTCTTTGTAACGGATATTCAAGATTATAGCCAAGTATCAAACAACACTTTCTGCTCTTCTCTCCATATGGGTTCTACGATCGCCGTCTCTCTGCCGTAATCTCAATCACCTACATGTTTCTGAATCGACACAACAAGGGCATGATCAAGTACCCGGGACCTTTTTTAGCCTCCTTGAGAAATATATGGCGCGTGCGTGATGCGTACGTGAACGGTGGCATGCGTCCATCTTATGTTGCCTTGCATCGCGTGTATGGCGATGTGGTGCGCCTGGGGCCTAAGGCGCTTTCATTCGCTTCACCAGCTGCTGTTGATGATATATATCAACCAGAAAAGAATATGGCAAAGGTATGTCTTAACGTTGATCTTCTGTGGAGATGTCTACTCACCCTCGTGTAATCCGGCTGGTACGTCGCATTTGAAGCACATGGCAAGGGTCACAAAAAGGAGAACATCTTCTCAACTCGTGATATCCACTGGCACACTCGCTACCGCACCCTTGTTGGCCCTGGCTTTAAGATCGTCAATCTGGCACCCAAGGAAAAAGAAGTAGACGAGTTAATCAAGAAGCTGCTACGCAACCTCAATGATGCGGCTCGCAGCATAGATAAAAGCTCTTCTCTCATCGATTTGCCGCTCCACCTGCAGCACTTCACATTCGATGCGGGTGGTGTCTTTGCCTTCAGTCAGCCGTACGGTTTCCTTGACCAGAAAACCGATCTTGATGGGATTATTCAATCAGTTCGCGTCGGCTCGACGCATTTGAACCGCGTACGCATAACCATCTGGGACATGACAGGTACCTCGGCTAACTTTCAATTATAGTTAGCTCAAGCTCCTCTAGGACAACTGTTTATTTGATAAAAACCCTCTTTCAGTTTATTTTAGCTTTATCGCGCCTCCAATGGCATTTGCGAAGAAGTATTTGCCTGCTCAACGGATCGAAGAGCAGCTTAACAACCCCAAGGCAATGGGCCAGCATCACGACTTGCTGGACCAGTTCCTAGAGGCACATAAGAATAGCCCGGACATTGTCACTCGGAACGAAGTGGTCGATCTCGAGCTAATAGTGGTTGTGCCTGCTTCTGAGGCTGTGTAAGTCGTGATACGTGTATTTAGAGAGCTGAGACTTAACTAACACCTATATGGAAGTCGTACTGCTATCGCAGCCCTTATCTATTATGCCCTCAAAGCCCCAGTGGTTTTGACAAAACTGCGCCGCGAAATCGACTCCTTAGGGTTAGGGTTTAGTCCGTGCGTTTATTTTCCTGTCCATCCCACTCATCTTGATGGTAAACACGGTGGGGAATATATTTTTCTCTCTATCGTTAAATATTTTCTCTTACCACGAATGGAAACGTAACTAATCGCACTAGATGCCCATTCATGCAAGTTCCAAAGCACGCTAAATGTCGAAATATGTATGTCAAGCTGGAGATGGATAAAACAGAATTAAAGACACACCCAGGTTACATGGCTATATCTCTTTACTGATTAATTGACCCTCATAAATACATGGGTATTTGATTATTCACGTTAATCCAAGCGTCGTCAGTAACGCATCTTTGCTTCCTATGATGGTTGGAGTATCGTCTCGATGGAAACATTCATTCTCAGTCATTCCAGGTTATTAACTCATTCGCATTTAAGTTTAACTGTCACAATCTTCTCCCATTACTCCATAGATATCTATCCTTTCAAATTATCCATTCCCCTCTTATAAATATTTCGCTATGCCCGAGTCTATGTATTCCAACTGGGCAAGACATTAAACAGCTGCCCCAGCCTGCATAAACAGACGCTCCCTCTTCATCAATAAACTCAACAACACTGTCAAAGAGCCCGCAGTAATTACAAGAATATATGTGTGACCCATAGCACTGACGATACCAGACTCCAACGCTGTCTGCTTGTCTGCTGGCAAAGATGAGACAAGCGACGACGTTCCGGAGATAACCGATAGAACTTCCTGCAGCGAAATATTAGGCAGAATATGAATGATGTTCTCCTGAGCCTTATTTAGGAAAACCGAATTAGCAATGGCAAGGGCGATTGTTGTGCCTACCACCTGGGCACAGGTGATGAAACTGGATGCACTAGCGAACTGTTGGGGTTTGACTGATGCCTGGGCCACGGAGAAGGATGCTTGTAGATACATTCCTGTTCCCAGACCAGTGATAATACTGTAGCCGTATATATGGGCGACGTTGGTGTCGACATTAACAGTGTATAAGAATGCACCGCCAATGAGCATTAGTGCACCTCCAATAGTATACCACGGCATGTACAGACCAAAGGCAGACATGATCCCCCCATTGACAATGATAGCAAAGATACAGAGTACAATGAACGGAAGAAGGCGCACAGCGGATCCAAAAGCATCTTCACCACACATAAATTGGAAGAACAGTGGGATCATGTAGATTGGAACGAAACAAGCTGTACCTGCAGCAGATGTAGATGCAAAGAGAACGAGCATTGTTCGTGACTTGAAGAATTCAATAGATAAAATGCGTCTCTCAGCAGTCGTAAAGATAGCGTACACTTGTTGGATACCGAAAAGGGTGAACAGTACGCCAGAGCAAACAAACAGGCCGATGATCTTGCCACTGTTCCAGGCCCAAGTGAGGCCACCGAAAGAAATAGCCATGATTCCGGAGAGAAAGGCACCGAGGTTAAGAATGCTGCCACTAAGGCGATTTCTCGGATGCGGTTCATGAAGCCTGTGCCTTTGCGAGGGTCGATATTTGGAAAAAGGAAGAGGTAGACAGGCACGCAGACAGCAGCGATCAGCAGGTTAATGTAGAAGGCCCATCGCCATCCAACAGAGCTCTTACTAAAGCCTCCTCCCACAATTGGACCTAAAACCATGCCTAAGCCCCAGGCCAAACCGGTGCTTGCTACATACATAGGTCTTTCATGGAGGGTGGTTGTCGCGGCCAGAAGGGTCATCACACCAATATACAATCCTGAACCCCCAATACCGCAGAGCACTCGCCCGACGATTAGGGCATTCATACTCGGGGAGGAGCCGCAAACCGCAGAACCGACTTCAAATATGGCAACACTGATGATATATGTCCATTTCCTATTGAATTGGAAAAAGATCTTTCCCCGGAGAAGCACTGTTGCCGAGGCGCTCATCACCAATCCAACACTAATCCAGGTGAGTTTAGTAACTGCATCGAAATTCCGGATAATATCAGCTTGGATATTAGCTGTGATTGTGTTGCCTAAGGCGAAGACAAATGTACTACTCAAAATTGCCAGGACGACGGCAATCCATCTCCAGCCACTGATAGTTTGTCCAGGATCCCCGGACTTCTGGTCATCTGGTGCTCTGATCGTGGTATCGTAAACTGGATTCTTTCCGCTGTCGATCTCGAGGGGCGATATGTCCCTCTTACTTTCCATGGTAGCAGTCTTCAAAGTGAGGTAAGGTTAAAAAGACAAGTGTATCAGTGGTTTTCAGAACCACAACTCTGAGGAGTTGTGTCAGGTTTATCTAACGTCGACGACATTGCTGAGGAGTAAGGATAATCTCCTAGATGTCCCTCTTCGATCTGCGAAAATCTTCACTTCGGGTCGACCATGCTTCGACTCTGCAATCACTCACAAATTCTGAGCTATGTATTTATCTCTTTGCGGCTTACCAAGCACTCCATCGGGCGTGGCTTCGGGAGATCACCATCACTCGGATAGATTCAAGCCCCGTTTCGGTTTCCGGAGTGGATCAGATCCCCCTGCAGGCACTGAGGCTATTCATCCCGGCTATATAAACGTAGTAGTATACGGAAGCTTTTAACTATAGGACAGGAAAATATCTCTTTCTCTCTTTTACTTAGCCCAGAGAACGAACAATATAGTGCCGGAAAGAAAACAAGCAATTATCCAGACTGTGATCTAGCAAACCAACACCATGGTGAGAAGACCAGCACGATGCTACCACTATTGCAAAAACAAAGTCAGTTACATTCGACCTTACAGACTACATCTACCAAAGCCTGACTCTTTCAGCCGTTTCCCAAGTCCCGGTTCAACCGAGGTGTCCCTGATCACAAGATCCGCTTTTTCGATACGGGACGAAAGAAGGCTACCGTAGATGATTTCCCTTGCTGCATACATTTAGTGTCCAGTGAATACGAACAGCTGAGTTCCGAAGCGTTGGAAGCGGCGCTTATCTGCGCCAACAAGTGTGTCACCTACAGAAAAGGAAAGAAGAATATTAACAAGCAGACAGGTACCTCGTAAAGACTGCAGGTAAGGAATCCTTCCACCTTCGAATTCGCGTCCACCCGTACCACACTACTCGGATCAACAAAATGCTCAGTGTCGCCGGCGCCGATCGACTACAAACTGGTATGCGAGGCACCTGGGGTAAACCGGTTGGTAAAGTTGCTCGAGTGAATGTGGATCAGATCCTAGTCTCCGTCCGGACAACAGATCGCCATCGCCTAGTGGCCATTGAGGCGCTGCGTCGCTCTATGTATAAATTCCCTGGTCGGCAAAAGGTCATCGTCAGTAAGAACCGGGGGTTTACGAACTTAGCTCGGGATAAATACATGCAATTGAGAAACGGAGGTCTAGTAAGGAATGACGGTGCTTATGTGCAGTTCTGTCAGCGGAAGGGCGCCTTGACAGAAAGCATTCAGAGGTTTCCTGAATTTTTTAGACTAGCAGTATCTCTTTAGATGGACCACAGCCGGAACAGAGAAAAAAGAAGGAGAATATTCCTCTTCTTTTTACGTACATACCGTACTATGGTCGGGCCTTGAAATAACGTTAGGAAGCTCCACCAGGCACCTCTCCTATTTAGTACACAGCTAGCTATATACACGCACAAAATCTCATATGACCACCATTAGCCTCAATTAGCGCCGTTTAATATGAAGGCTTTGATTAGAGTGGTGTTGGCTAGTAGATGACCTCAAAGGTTATCTTCTCCAAGTGTGCGTGTCCTATCTTCGGCGGCTGCAGCTGTATCTACCTGGGAAGGGAAAGGGGGAGGAGAGGGGTAAGGGATAAGAATAAGGGATGGATTGCTTTATTCTTCCCTGTGTAGTCCGAGGTTTGGGTTGGGGTTCCTATTCCAATCTTCCTATTGCAATCGCGTACTTGATTACTGCATGGACGGCCTTCATATCCGGTTGCTATCGATCGGAGTCTAAGCGTGATTTTCCGCCTAGGAAGAAGGACAGATTTCCTCATTTTATCTACGTACACTAATTCATACCTTCTCTCATTATTATCTATTTTGTGCAGCGGAATAAAAAGTGTTCCACAGTTTCACTTGCTTGGCCACAGGCACAAAGATCAGAGTCTACTACGCCTATCCTATTCAAATAGCTGTTGAGCCTTGTCATGCCTGTCCGAAGTTAAGCTAAAGTTTTTGCCTCTTTTCAATTTAGTCCATTGTATAGGCTTCTGGTGTGCTTTTCTAGAAGTGCTATGTCGATAGCCTTTGAGTATTTTCCAACACTCTCTGGGAGAGTCCATTCTTATCATTATTCCACAATGGCAAGCCTAATTGTAACTGATTTGGCTTAATACGGCTATATCTCTGATTAGCATTCTATTTTTATTAACTGCTGCACCTTTCCCAATTTAAGACTCCATCGATTGCTGTTTGAATGCTGGCACGGTTCGCTTCAGCTAATGGACCTATTACCTATATAATATTCCCCTGTTCTTAGATAGAAGATATCTCCTGAAGTTTTAAACTCTCTTTAACTTCGTTAAATGACGAAATATTATAAACATCGAGTGTCCAAAGTAATTCTATCCACGTCCTATAACAGGATGAGAAATCAATCATATACCCTCAACTCCGCCTACGTCTGTACTAAGAGCTAACCCTAACCTCCACTCAACCCCAGACTTCTCCACAAACCCGCAAACCCGGAGACGCTAAACTCTACACACAAATCCCTCCGTTCATCCTTCCATCTATCCGAGATCTTCGCTTGAGTGCGAGTCAGAAAGTAAATGGACCATTGAGACGAGGAGGGCACGCTGTACTTTAGTGATCATCGGTACCCACGCATAAGACCCTAACCCTAGTACCGATTCTCTGTATCGAGCAGTCGCCACTTTCAGCAAACAACAACTGGCATGAGAAGTACCTCATATCATAACTTTCTATAAACTAAAGGTCTATATACATGTATATTTAAGCACATAAACATCACTCACCTACATTATACCAAAGGGGAAAGACAAGTTGCAAAAATTGCAAAGCATGGAATGGGTATATACATTGTATATGGGTTTTTGAATGTACTGCAAAGCTTGCATTGGAATGGCGTGAATGGTTGGTTTATATAAAACTAGACAAAATCACCCGGGCCATCGAACATCTTGGTCATGGCTTTGTGTGCCAATTCCACACCGAGGCTATATTAAGCAGAATTAGTCATGTTTCACAGACAAACCGAGAAGACGCAAAACTTACAAAGTCGCAGCATTAGCAGGCACAGCTCTGGCCAGCGCAGGACCAAAACCCGGGAAGAAAGCCTTGAATCCTCCACTAGCATGAATGGCCCGAATTGTACCTCCAATCGTCGGCGTGCCCGAAGCGGACTGCATCCTCGACTTGATCGTATCAATCGGGAAAACAGGAATCCACATGGCGATACCCGCGGCACCACCAGCCGTCAAAACAGCCGTCAACGACAAGTCACCAGTTACATTCCCATCTGCATCCTTGGGTGCCAAGGCCCGCTTGATATATTCGTATGCAGCGAAATAGGCGGCGGAACCGGGCGCGTCACGCGCCAGCGTCATTGCCGAGCCACGAAATACGCTGCGAAGACCGCCTTCCTTGTAGAGCTGACGCACGACATCGACACCGCCAGAGTATTTCGGTTTTTGGCCTGGAGGAGGTGGGTTTTGCCCTTGAATCTGAAGGAGAACTTTGACGCGCTCAAACGGGGCCGTGATGAGTGTCATGGGTATAGCGGAGAAGGCACCTGCAGCAGAGATTTGAGTTATGCTGTATTGAGGGGTGTTGTTGTGAACGGGGACGGCGGATAGAGAGGAGACGATTGTTTTGCCTAGATCGTAACCCCAGAAACTCACAGCGACTGTTGTTTCTTGGTCAGTTACCACCAACCCATAGAGCTGAAAAGAGAGAGAGGGAACTCACACATAGGCGTAACCCCAACCAACGGCGCCGAAACACCAGCATATAAACCCCTCGCCAACCCTTCCCTCGCAATGGTCTTCTTCACAACATCTATCGCACCCGTATAAACACCCTTTTCGGCGGTTTGCATGCGCACTTTGACGAGGTCAAAGGGATGGCCGATAACCACGGCGCAAATACCACCTACACCACCGGCGACGAAGGATCGAATTTGGGCGAGGGTTTGAGAGGTAGCGGGCTGTTTCGCCGGCGCGAGGACTTCGTCCTTGTTTTGTGTTTCTGACATTTTTGTGTGTAGAGTTTTGAGGATGTTGCGGTGGTGTTATTGCGGGGCGGAACGATTGTTGGTAGAACGGTGAGGGCGATCCCTCTCGACTGTAATATGCTGGATCGAATCGCAGTCGACTTCTATGTGCCACTTGAAAAATATCTGTATTCTGTAATAATCATCAATGAATAATATCGATCGGGGACAGTTGTACGATAGTTGTTAATTGATAGTTAAAGTAAAATAACCGCCCTTAGCCGTTACCGTCCAACTCACACTAACCTCGGCTCATCTTTTGGCTTCCCGCGCCGAGCTTGAACAGTTCGTTTCCACCAAATGAACACACCGGTTTCCAGATTTCGGCATAACGGAGGCAACTTATTTTTGAATAAAGACTATTTATATGGATGTGTATCTCCATTTATTTTTATGACTTCTTAGCTCTTATAACATACCCGGAGACATGGAACCCACGGTCCGCTACAGGCACATGTCAAAAGGACATCCCATGAGAAACAGCGATCTGAATGAGAGACTTCCAGCGATACAAAGTCCCTCGTATATTCTGTATATATTTTGGTCCGAGATTGAGACACGGCTGCGTATACAATATTATCGTACAAGAATCAAAAAAAGGATAGACTATACACAAAAGTGGGGGGAAAATTCATATACCTTTCCCTCTTTTCTGAAACCTCCAAGAATGAGGAAATAATGAACGCTTCAATAACAAAGAAAACGCACAAGAATTCAGATATGCTGGTCAGATATGGTAGACGCCAAATATCAAAAAGGCAAATAATTATGATATAAATCAGATATTATAGTGAAAAAGTCCAGAAAATAGAAGGAAATTCGTGACATGATCCGTCTGTATCATAGTATTCTGACTCTTTTCTTATCGTGTTTTCTTAAGTAGCACTTCGCCGCGAAACAGCCGATCCCTCATGACTTGACTCGGTATCGGTGCTTTGTTCGACTAGCTCTGCCGTGCTGCCTGGGTGTTCGGAGTCCAGCTGATGGATGCTAGCACCTGCTCGATGATGTGCTACGTAGCCCATGCCGGATGGTCGTCCAGGATCAGCACTTGCTATCCGTTGGATGGTGGATGTAGATGACGCTGTAGACCCATGGCGTTCTTGACTGGTCTTGCTACCGGCTTCGCTCGCTGCGAAAGGGAGTCGTGCTTCAGACTCACTTGCTGGGTGAAGTAAGTCGGAGCTAGGTACCCGACGAGATGGGTGTGTTGCGCTATCCGGTGAACCGGGGATAGGTACCAAGGCCGGTGTAACTTCATCTAGGGGGTCATGAGGACCATATCTCCTCGAGCTCTTTCTTGGGACAGGAGGGCGATTTGAGGAGTGTGTGCTAGTACGAGATCCGACTCGGCTAGGAAGCTCGATCGACCCACCAGCGTCAATCTGGGGCAGTTGGAAAGACTCTGTCTGTTCTTCGTCCTTTTCTTCCTCTGCGCCATCCGAGTCGTGGTAGGATGTTGTCGTGGCGCCGGATACATTTCGCGAGTGACCTCTCTCACTAGCAACTTCAGGAGATTGTGATTCGGGCTCATCCCGGTAGGGTTCATGGTATTCTTGGTCTTCGGCAGGTGAAAATCCTGCAGGAGGTGCTCGAGCACTTCGAATCACCTCAAAACCTTTACCTTGCTCTTTAGTCTTCCCACCTAACAACCGACGGAACCAACCTGATGCCGAAGAGACGGGCCCTGTTGGATCTGCTGGACCCGTTTTCAACTTGCGAGTCCCAGTATGGGATAGCGCCGGACCACGAACTCGATAATAAAAGTCGACTTCGCGGACCGCATAGTCCTTACGGTTCGGTCGGCCATCATCCAGATCAGGATCGTCTCGAGCAGTGCCAAGGTGTGCGGGGAGCGGTTGGCCTGCGCTTTCAATACCGGCATCCTCCGTATCGCTACCAGATGTAGCTGGCACTCGTCCTTCACTGCCAGACTGTCGGGTGTCCATGGTAGTCGTTCGAGGACGGGGTGGTCGATAGTAAGGATCCATCGCCTCGGGCTTAAAGCCAATAACAGAGCCACTCTTTGGTGTGCCCATGGGTTGGTAACCGGCATGATGAGAAAATGCACTACTGGCGCCAGGTGTGGTTGGAGTGTACATGCCGCTATTCGTTCGACTATGCGGACCACCATGCGCACTACCCGCATCGTAAGCAATACTTACTCGACCATCGCTGACGGCTGTGCGATTTAGAAGCATTGCCGAGCTTCCAGAGATACTTCTTGCCCGAGAACCACCAAATTGTGCTGATGACCGTTCGTCCATGTTAGCAAGCATTGCTGCCTCTGAACCCATGCTTTGACGTGTGCTGCTTCGGGGGTTGCGTCGAGAGAGTTGTCTTGCACCAAAGACCTGATACTCGATTAGTAATTTTTCTACAAAACAGCCACTCCTTTCCAAAACCGTCTGAAGTCGGATACATACTTTTGTGAGGCCACCTCGTGTTGCACCTCCTTCTGCACCTCCAGCCCCTGCAAGACGAGCAACGACTTCTATCAGAGTCTGCAGAGCGTTCAGGAAAAATCCAAATAACAGCATCCCTCCGTGCAGAATCAAGATTGCGTATCCAATCCATCCCTTGGTCTGTTCTGAAATACCCAAAGACGGCACAAAGGCAACACACAACAGCACCACCAAAAAGCGCACAAGAGAGAAAACAAACTGATACAGATTCATCGATGTCGGAGAAGCATACGGTCGGAACGCAACTAGAAGTAGGATCATGGCCACTTCACAAATTGCGAGCAGGACAACCTGGGCAACACCTGAAGGTTGAAGGGCGCCGATTGCGACAGCGCGGAGGACAGTAATGAGAATAGGTACTAGGGCGAATGGAGCGGCCTCATCGCGATATGTGTTGTATAAAGGTCCATATTGCAGAACAGTAGGGAGATCGTCGAAGAGGTACGCTCGAGGCCGCGCAGAGATTATAAGGTGAATAATATAGAGGGCAAAGACGAAAAGAATGAGGAGTAATATGACTGCCAGTACAACGGAGTACGCCATTGATTTCCCGGCAACCACCAATTGGAATAACGCAAGTGATACCATGGGTAACAGGAAAAAGTTGAATGTAATGCGAATAATGTTTCCAATCGTGAATGGAATGTTTTTCGAACGTAAATCCTCTTCTGGAACGCGAGCCATTCGATGGTAGATCCACTGAGAGCCAAGAGCAACTTGGGTCAATACAGTCACCGCAACCAAAATCACCAGTAACCAAATGATTGATCCCGGCCAGACATCTCTTATACTGTGCAAACCGACATATTGTCTGAGTCGATCCAGGCCATAAGTTCCGTTGACAACATATACACCATCGATAATCGGATCAATCCCTGTTCCATGGCTTGCGAAACTCTGATTGAACATAAGGATCGACCACGCCCCTCGAGATACAACAGGTTGATAATATCCGGGGTAATTTAGAGATAAAGCTCCGGTAAGTACAATGAACTGGATATATTGCAAGCAGTCCGCGAATCCCGGAGTAACCAGTCGTAAATGATCTTCGTCTCGGCCATTATTGCTTGTCCACTGATAAATGTCGGTCGAACCCCAAGGACTATATGTAGAGGCGAGTATGTTTGCGAGGGTTAGAAGCACCAGAACCAAAAGGGGTAAAAATGCGAACACTCCTTTGAGTGTCCCACCCAGATCCGGCGTGATTATGCCAGAGATGCACCCTAGATCCGTTCCCTGTGCGTCACCGGACTTGATGCGTAGAGTGGTCGCTAAACTCGTTAATTGGTATGATCCACCAAGGTCATGCTGGATTGAAAATGCTCGAAGTTGTGATGGATCTCTCCTGGAAGTAAAAAGAATACAGTTTAGCACAATCACGGACACTTAGTGAAGAAGACATACCCATTGACATTGAAAACCGGCCCAAGAGGACAGCTGCCTTGGGTGACGTTTCGACAGAACTCAGTCGCATTTTCATATGGAGTAAAGGTGAGAACATCGAGGGTTGTGAAAAGGGTGGTGTATGTCTGGTTTCCATCATTGTTGACAATATTAGGGATCTTGCCGGCGTTGTTTGTATTATCATTCCATAGTGGTGAGCCTGGTGCTGGAGCAGGTTCCCCTGCAGATCCAGTGACATTTCCGTAAACGGTGATATTCAATGGGTTTGGGCCGGGTGCAGGATCGTACACGACATGAAAATATTTCGGGACAAACTGCAGTTGACCGGGATCGTTCAAGATATTGGACTCCAAACAATTCTCAAAATCGATAAACGCAGCATTCGTCGAGCTTGTCAAAAAGACGAGGAAGCAGAACAATATCATAAACCAAGAATTATCCATGATGCCGTTTGTTCTCCGAAACGTTACCCCCCGCCCTTGTGTTCTGTCAATCACCTCGTCATTGCCTTTTATCCTCTCTAGTAGCCATGGCGACCCGGAAATCCGTCGACGATGTCGCCTATTCCCGTCAATATCCATTGCGACCCAACAGGGGCTAATTGAGAAGACCTCCAAGAGGTCTGCCCCTCTCCAACACCAGGGCTGTCAACCTGGTTTGATCCCAAACGATGGCGGATTCTGTGGTTTCCGTGAATAGCAACTGGTTGATGGTTTTATAGCACCGCGAACGACCAAGATTCGAAAAGACTCGTCGAACTAAATGACGGATAGTAATGTTTGTCACCTCAGTCGTGTTTAGTGTTTCTTTCTGGTTGGAGAATTAATTCTGTACGGGTCGGTAGATAGTCAGCCCAAGGCAACCAACTGCGGTTAGGAAGCTTGCAGCATGACGGTGGACGGAGCGAAAACGAGCGACAAGAGGCCCGGAGAAAGGTCTGCTGGAGGAGAAGGGAAACAATTGGCGGGCAAGTACGGAGAAAGTAGTCGAAGAAAAGATGGTCGAGTCGGGTCTAAGCGATTGTATGGAAACTCGAAAGAAATCAAAACAATTATCCACGATTACAGCTGTAAAGCGGAGGACTCTGACTTTGTCTCAGCACAGCCACTCGAGCCCTACTGTGGCGCTTTTCTGCCGGTTTCCTTCCATAATGGGAAACTGGGCTGTAAGTAGGGCAATCTGCAATATCTACCAATCAAATAATTGAGAATTCGAAATTGAATAAAATGATTGCAATTATTTATTTGATCTAATTTAATTTTGTAATAGTACACTCTCAGTTTATCATGATAAATAGTAATTATTTAAATTGAAACATATTTTGTACAAGCTTTGACTGAATAGTTGCCCTAATAGCCAAGGACAAGACAAAAATAGACGGTGGTAGCGGTGACGGTGGATGTTTCTCTTTTTCCAACCTCTTTGCAATTATCCACGAGTCTTCTTTTTCCAATACCACATACTGAACACTGATACCCTTGGATAAAGTCCGTATCCAATCAACAATATGATCCAAAAGATCATACTGGGTTTATGCTCGTTCGGCAAAGTCGCTATACCACTCTTCTTGAGCGCCTTTCTTATCGCTACCAAAAATCGCTATGAATTACACCGCCCTGGTTTTCTCGATTTGACCAGATGAGAAAGAATTAGGATCATTGATGACCCATCATCCACTGCTCGCTGATGTCAGAGCAGACTAAGGGGAGTAGAACCTCCTGCGGTAATGTTGTTGATACGTAGTTCTAATTAGTTAGGCAATGGCCCGTTAGCTAGCCTCTTAAAAATCAAAAGGATTCGCAATGAGAGACCAGACACCTACTCCAGATAATTGGAAAAGGCGTATTGAAACGACAATTGATCGCATTCGTTCTCAGACGCATCGAAAATGGTGATACCTATATTCACTTTCATAAAAAACCGGCTTGGACGGTTAATGCTTTTACAAGATAAGTTTTGTATGGAATAGCCACACTCATCAAAGAACTCTTGAATGATCCGTTGAGCTTGGGCGAGAAAGCCTTCGTTTGAGAGTTTAGACTCTATGAGATATTCAAGGGCCCATGTGTTATTAACTCAGGCTTCCGCATCTCACTCACAAAAGGTATGCATATCTATAAATGGTAAAATCTTCTCACTATCTTCTTCCCCTGTCTGTTTCTCTTTACCCTAGAAAAGCTCGGGGCAGTCTCCTAGCACCCACGACTTTCTTCGAAAACCCTCAATAAAACTACCCACCGGTGTGTTTTCAATCTGAGCGCGAAAAGAGATTATTTTCATATTAGTGCTTGGGGGGGGGGGTCCCGTTCTTGCTACCCGGGTAAGTTATGTTGAGAAGGTTATATCATGGAATGCCAAATACCAGCGGGTCCAAAGGCAATGCGCTGATGAGGTTGTCTCGCATGTATCACGCACGGACTCTAAATAGAGCATGTCATTTCCCTATGAGAATGTGGGTTCGCTCAAGTTGTATTCAGGCTTCACAGGAAGTTGAAACACTAGGTGGTTAGACTGCAAGGTGACTGGAAGAAGATTCGACGGTAGAAGCTCAAGATTCTCGGATGACACTCGATTGAGCTGTTTTGTGTAGATTGAGACCACATTTGTTGCGTATTTCCCAATATCTGCTATATGTTCCGCGACACTGGGTTGTTGCCCAGCTGTATAACTGGTTTCCAAAAGGAGAAACCGACAGAACTAATCTTCGGAGACTATGCAATCCAAGCACTTTCCACAACAATGAATCAGATCGGAAAAGGCAGTGGAAGTGCTAAGGTTGGGGATAAATTCTGTTTCCCACTTGTTCTTGAGGTCTGGTTTCGCATCAGTCTGAACAGCAGACAGCATAGCAGAGAACTGGAAGGAGACCAGCTCGAGAACACTGCTACCATCAAATAGATCGGCGGGCCGAGAAAGCTGAACACAGCGGTTGAAGATGCAGTAAATATATCCTAACATCATGGTGAAGCCTACGGAGCATTGGTGTAAGGGTCTTGACTAAGGGACTGACTCAGGAATGAAGACGAATAGATAGAAACTGACTAAGGAACTAGAAACTAGGGACTAGGAAAGAAAACAAGAGGACTGCTGGTTTTCAGGACAAATCGATGGGCAGGATGAACTCCTTATAAGCTCCATCCTGTCAACATGAATTTTCCTAATCAATAGAGCAGTGACATCTAAACATAGCAAACAAAGCGGCTTTGAATATACAAAGATGTGCAAAGGAAATTGTCGGAACGTGAATATCAAACCCTACACGTTTTGGCACCGGATATAGTTAGTCTGACGCGGCACGTGCGTGCCGCGTATATCTAGCTAGCTATCCCCGTCCCCCTCGTTCTTGGGGACAAGTCACAATATTAGGAATCAAGATATCTTCATATTGTCAGGCTCATTAGGCCGCTTCGTGTTCGCGCCTTACTACCGTCTATGCTTCGTGATACGGACCGTAGTTAAACCAACAGAAATGTTAGGAATCCCGCCTCACTCGGCCTGATCTCTGTTCCATACCCTATCTTACCAGACTAGATTATGCGCGCAGCTTTTTGGTCTAGGTGGTTCCAACAGGGAACAACAAGATGCATAAAGAAAATGAGCGTCAAAGAATGCTAATCATAGAGACATGATATCCTTCGGGGAACTAAGAAAAGAACAACACGCTTTAATCGACCAGGATTTCACCAACTACAGGAGGTTAAATCCGCCGACCAATGAGAAGCAAGAGAATCCAACCTCAGGGTCAGAGCGAGAGCAAACCCTGACATAAATCTTGGTTGTCGGGTAGTCAGATCATAGTAACTCCTCGCGGAACTAAGGTTCGGTGGTATTCTGCTAACGAGAGTGTCACGAAGACGAGTATTGTAATATATCAAAGAGACAATAAGAGACAATAAAAGAGAGGTAACTGTGTTAACTAGCTTAGAGTGATCTGTGTACTGTATATACTCTTATACCCTAGGTTGTACAGTTAATAAATGACAGTAAAGTAGACCTAAATACATGATGAATGAGCGTCCTTTTATGTTCCTCATATCGAATTACCCTGATTCGATATGTCGAATCAACCTTGATTCACTACCGAAGCACCTTGATTCGTTAGTCACGTGATTCCATAACCCTAGTCACCTTCTGCTTCGGGTTATCCTTGTTCCGTCATGCAGTAGCGCTGTTAGCCTTACTAATTCATTGACTGCGACTTTCTTGATTCCTGTGACAATTAGTTAATTCAGGATTTCAGATCCCTTCAATATTAAAGTTAATATTAGGAATATAAATTATAACTAATAGTAAATAGAATCTATGGAATGTCCTCATAAGTTATCTTAACTTAGTTCAACTTAAAGGTAGCTTACATAAGACAGTACAAGAGTCATACATTGGACTGCACATTAGGCGGTGAACAAACGTATAGCAGCTGAGCCGATCGCTGGCGTCAAGCCACACTTTCTTTCCCTCTCCTGAAGGCTCTTTGAGTACGGAACATTCGTTGTCTTGCCAGTATGCCCACATTTCCTGGATGAATTCAAGGTTCAAAGTGAAACAGGGTCCTTCGTTAACTCTGCTATGGTCTCTCTTGATCCTGTGCGGCTGGAGACTCCTCAGCCTCGACCTACAGTTACTCCAGTTGGTATTTCCACAGACACTGTGGTGTAATGTGGTGTAATGTGGTGTAATGCTGTATATTTCTCAGTATAGCATGATTGTACTACAAGTCGCTACAAGACTTATTCGATTTGATAGCTGTCGGGACGTGAATATCAACCCTACGCGTTTCGGCACTGGATATTAGTTAGTCCGACGCGGCACGTGCCTGCCGTGTATACATCTAGCTAGCTATCCCCCGTCCCTTTACTCTTGAAGGCTCGTCAGCTTGTCGAATTAGCTGTTCTACGTGTCTAGTGCTAGCGACCTAGACGTAGATAAACCGACAATAGCAAACTTGGCAGTCTTGTCTAATGCCGAATGATGTCTGTGGGCTTTGATCCCGTGTCTCACATACGAATTCGTTCGTGCACGTTTCATTGGCCAGGCGCTAGTCCAGAACGCAAGCTTGGTGACAGACAGGCCTTAGTCGTTTGACTTATGGGCTAAACTGGTAAGTTATGCATGGTCTGTGCCGGTATGCTGGCTGTTGTCTCCAGTCCTCGTAGGTAGTGGAAAGACTAGTGGTTTATACTTGTCTCACTCGGTGGATGAAGTCATCGCTTGCTTTATAGGTATCTCTCGTCATAGGTGAGTATTGTAGAATAACGTCAGTTATCGACAGCTTGTTCCGATAAATACCAGCTGTCTGCCAGCATCTGAAACTGACTTGATAGCTGCTATTAGTTTATCTGGATCGAATCAGATGGTACATGATGTTGTACAACTGTCGCTATTCAATTGACTTGGAGGCACCAATAAAGGTGTACTAGTGCCTAGCAGATATCTTCACTCCCAACAGTTTCTCTCCTTGCTCATGTCGCCTGTATCTTTCCAGATCGAAAAATTGAAATCCCAGACTCGCCAGAGTCGCCACTGTATCATCAAAGTCGGTCAGTGAAGAACATTATTCCATAATGATAAATCGATGGCTTTCCAAGGACCTTGCCCATGTTGTTTGGCTTCTAGCCTGCAGGGCCAGACGCACCTTGAGACATCTAGCCAAGAAAATGGGGCCACATATTGAGCCGTTAAGCAAACTGGAAATGGAAAACTGGCTAAGGCATAGTATGCTACATAAGCTTTATGAATACCTCGACTTATCGAGGCGTCACTTCGTTCCATGGCCTGTTTTTCGATCATCACGAAGGCCAGCGAAGCATGGTTTCGGAGATGTCGATGTATAGAGCAACAATATCATCCACCAGAACCACGTATCTCGTTGAGATTTTACGAATACTCGGATATGTCAGATCAACAAATTCTTGTTCAGTGAGACTGTTATTTGACGTCTAACTCATTCCTTAGTATATAGTTATGCCAATCAGACCCTGGAAGGCACCATAATTAAGGCTTAGCCTTGAGCATTCACAAGTGGCTTGAAAACATTCCCATCACTTTCGTACTCTGAAATAACCTTCGTAAGTAATTAGCTACACAGTATCAAATGCTCAGGTACAGTAAACAGAGAAATGTATCAGTCTACAATCAAGCCACAACATCGTTGGATAACAATGGTCCAAAGATGTGCGTACTAAGTGACGCAGGGCGGTTACGGGGAGTGGAAGCCGACTCCGTCTAGCCCTAGTGCCTAGCTGTCTAGCCATGGGACAGGCTAAAATCATAGTGCTTTGATAGGCTAGGCTCTAGTTATGCTATCGAGTGCTCCATTGCTATTTTAGCCGTTATATAATTCCAGCTCTCTGATTGGTTGTGTCGGCGCTTACTCCAACATCGATCTAAAACCCTAATCCTCGAGATTGGACGCAGTAGTGATGTTTGATTTTCCTCAGGATACAGATAGCCTGGCCTTTGGTTATTCTAATTTTTGAAGATGGATCTACGTCTGCAGTCTTTACTAAAATTATGATCTAGGCTGTTCTATGCTTTTGTTGCTTTTGATTCTGTTGAGTACATATACCCTCAGGCTGCAGTCACTGTCATCCTTTCTCTTCTTTTCAGTCATCAATCATCAGTCATAGAGTCAGTCTTTTGCAAATTACTCACTCCTCTCACTCATATTCTTTTGTCTTTTCTACAGACACTCCCTGCATTTTCTGCTCTCTTTAACACAACTCGCTTTATCTGCGACAAGACCTAACATCATTTCTTCAGAACGAATATCTCCTTAAACTCTCTACTATCTCAGCGAGGCACTCATTCCGCTCCTATTTCAAGAATTAAACTCTGCATATAACTTTCAAAACGCCCTACGGAGACGGTCAGCGAAAGAGCATCATGTTCAAATTCCTTCGAGTGAGCAAGCACGGCATCCTAGGTGTCAGCTACCACATCTTTCGTGTCGCGGAGTTCATAACCCTGATTGCCATCATCGGTCTGACAGCTTCATTTGTCTCGTCCTTGGTCGATGCGGATGTCACGCCTCCATCTATCCTTGTTGCTATTTTGGCCCTCGTAAGCCTGCCACCTACCTATGCATTAACCCTATCTTAATAGGAAGGCAGGTTTCTCTCACCGAAGTATACATAATAATCACTTCAATCCTCTTCTACGACCACAAAATGCCCTTCATATGGGCTCTATGTACCGACTCGCTCATCCTAGCTGGTCTCATCGTCATTGCCGTTGAAGCTGGAAAACCGCTCTCATACCTACGCTGTTCGGATATTGGCTCTTCTAATAGTGCGTTCATGTTTGAGTCTACACTGTCAAACCTGGCTGGTGTTCTGAGTGCTGGTTCGGTGTTTTCGAAGTTTATTGCATCGGCGAGACATGTTTGTATTGAGATGAAGGCTATTTGGGGTTTGATTATTGCTAATTGGTGAGTTTCGTCTATATCCCGTTTTCTTGTGCTAGAGACTGATATGAGCGTTTGAATCTAGTATCTTCTTTGCTTTTACCGTTCTCACCGGCATGATTCTTTCCTTGATGGACAGACGTGCCAAGAGGGTGAAGAATAACAACGACTTCTAAACTGGTTTATACTCGTTTCCCGGTCTTTTGCAGATTTACGGCGGAGCTAATTCCACTTACGACATACAGGCTTTTCTCGATGGGCCACCTGGCGCTACAGTAAAACAAAAATTGGGTTACTTTTATTTTAATAGGGAAATTGTTTTTGGTTTCTTTCTTTTCTTGCGTTCTGTTTAAGTGCTTTGATTGCTTTCTGATCTTGCTTGGTTGAGCCCTAATATCTTTGGCCTTTTGCATTTCCCATTTAACGTCCCTTAGGTTCCTTGACATATGCGTAATGACAACGTTCAAGCATGACACTATTTGAAAACTCATTCTAGACCTATATTCGATACTCCGTAACTGATATTATTACTAGTCATAAACTAATCTTTCCAGCTCGGCCGTGTATTCATATCATTCATTAGACTACGTAGTACTCATATCCCACTGTCAGACGGTCTTTGCCCGTATATGACAACCCTAAAAACTATCGTCAGATATTACAGCCTCTCAACATGATGTCAAACTCACAGTTCATAGTAAACTCTACTCTCCTGCTCTACAAGCACTCTCTTCGTCTCCGCCACAAATTCTTTTGCTTCATCGGCTGTCCACTATGGCGTCAATTAGCAACTCTCATTCGCTCAGAAAGAAAAAGAACATACCCCCATGTATCGTGTACTAACAGCCAATACCCACCCTTCCATCCCCGTCTCCCAAAACTGTCGAAACCATCTCGCAATCTCCTGAAGACGAGGGACTGGATAATCCGAGTATCCTCCCATCAATTCCTCACCTATACTAGTAGTACCTTCTGTGGTAATAGAGGTCATTCCTTCCAAGCAGTCGAACAGCGGTAATATATACCGTATCTCACGCACATTATCAAACCCCGTTTCATAAATCAAACCAGCCATTTGATCCGCGACAAACCATGTTTTGCCCGTTTGACGACTACATTCTTGCCAAAATTTGTACCACGTCGCAAAAATTGAGTTTAATTCTTCTGTATGCGAAGTTGACTCCAGATCCAGACTGCAATAGTCGTTTCCAGCACCTTCGTCTGCGGTATTCGTATACCAGAACCGTGGAATCAGCGACAATTCAACCTGCTCAATGTACCCCTTCCCTGGCTCAAGATGATCGAATGCCTGTTGGTATAATTTGCGCCAATCTTTAATACTACCGTACAAGCAACGGATGTGTACAAGGTCGAATAACTCGCGTCCTTCGTCGAGATATGTCCAGTTTGAGCAGCAGTCGTCGACCTCGAAGGTGAGATTTGGACGGATGGTGGCGTCGTCGTGCCAGATGGGTGAGAGATCAGTGCCGAGGACTTGGGCTGCTGGGTTGGCGTCGGCTATGTTGCTATATTGTGTTAGTTCCCTTGGGCTACTTCGTTATGAGGATTCAGAAGATTGTATATACCTAGCCCATAGTCCAATACCAGTCCCGACATCTAGAACGTGACGTGGGCTTGATATAGGAGCGAGATAGAGTCTATCTTGCAAAACAAGTGTGAAGAGGTGGTGTCTGATACATTGTCAGCATACTTCCACACCGTTGAATAGTATGGAGCACATACGCAACTCTTTGATGATACGCATCCTGTTCATCATTTGGGCCCCAATATGAACCTTCCCCTATATCTTGATCAGTTTTCCAGCGTTGGAATTGGCATCATAGACATAACAGACGTACGATAAGCATGATATCTCCGATTATTCTCGTATTTGTATGCCTGTAGCGGTGATGCCAGTACATTTGTACTAACGCCAGAACGAAGGGTCAGTTTTCCGTTGGAGGATTGGATATATCGGGGATATCACTTACGACAGGTTATCGCTGAAACTTTCCTTCGATGCCGAGCTGTCGTTTCTCTAGAACCAGATGTCAGTTTCAAGGTCATAATACTTCCAGTCCGAATCAGACTCACTAGAAAAGACCCTTGTCTCCTCGGGGTCAGGAAACCCGTTGCCATTATAAAAATCAATCAGATGGTTGTCGTCGTCCTTCTCATTCGCCTAAGTATACCATGTATTGACAAAGTCTCCTTGCCCGATCTCCTGCTACTCCTGAACTCTCGGGCTCCAACTTCAAAACCCCGTCCCAGCATAGAAGCAATTCAGATGGTGTGGATCCAATCTCTCAACACAAGGTCGTCCAAGAAAGCGTTCTGACGAGAACAAGCCAGTAACAGAACAACGAAACCCTAACAACCGAACTTGGAATATCGACGTAAATGAAGACATTATATTTCTCCAACACTTCTCACCGTTCCAAAGGACAAAAGAAACAATATAAATACTTCCAACCTACTTTCCAACCTGTCAGTTACGTCCAAATCCAGCTTCAGGTCACACACACCTCCCTCAAACTCGATGCATACATAGCCCAATTCAAAAACGGACCAAGATCGACAATGTGAAGAAACAACATAGGGTCAAAGTACCGAGTATCTAACCCAACAAGCCGAACATCTCTTTGCTTATTCCCTGCAGAATGAATAAAAATGATCAACTAGGTATGTAGGTCAACACCGTTGAGTATACGGACAAGACGAGATCATGAAACAACGTCAGAATGCTTGTCTCTCATCTAAGGAATCGCTTAGCTTGAAGATAGAGTTATTTTTGTCTGTACATAGTATGTTGATCTGTACTGAATATGAAGCACATATCCGACTCGTTTCGAGTTCGAACGTCACTCAACGGTCTCGACTCGATGGGCCGACGGTGTATCATTCCAATGCTGTCGCGTGTTTTAAGCAATCATTTTCTATTTGTAGGAGAATAATGGACTACGTACATTTTACAGTGAGGCTATTCAGTCAGATAGTACATATGCGTAATTTCAACCTCGTTCCTGGGAATATTGACCATCGCGTGCTACCTTTACTTTCCGCATGCGGTTCCGAAAGGTACATATACAGTAATGAAGTTGCTCAAGCGAAACATTCCATTAGTATCTCGTCTAGTCAAAGTGAAATGCCGGATGATATCAGATGAACTGGCAATTCTCTGGAGTGCATAAATATCCAGCAGTATGTATATAAATATGTATTTCATGTTTCCATGCTGCAGATAGAAAACAAGAGAGATTGACATGTTGTTCTTGTGTCACTTTGATGTGTCGGGCAGGACGTCCACATTCCGGAGAAAATCATTGAGAGTATGTGTGTAACCAGGTACGTGGTACAAAACAGGCTTGTTGAATGTTGTTGTCATGTTTCAGGTTCTATCATCGTATGTATTTCGCCTAGATACGGAGATGAAGAGGGTTATTTGTGTAGTGACAGCTCATCCATCTACCCAACCATCTCCAACCCCTAACCTTGGAAACCCCAACAACCAGCCTCATCAGTAAATAAAAAACAAAGCCAAAAGCATAAAGTAAATCACCCTGAACTAACAGGCGGAATAATAGCAACCTCCTCCCCTTCCCCAATCACAACCTCCTTCCCAGCCGAAGTCGTCCCATCACCTTCGCCCTCAGTAGAAGAAGGAATATCAACATACTCCAACCCAACACTGACACTACAACTACTCAAAACAGTCTTCGTAATACCGGGATATCGTTCTTCGAGTAATGGAAACAGTCCGGAGAGAGGTAAAGGTGCTGGTAGGGATTCGCTTGATTTGCCTGTGTAGCTGGATGCGGATGCGAAGTAGAGGATTTTGAAGGTTGGCATTTTTTTCTCTCTTCTCTTCTTCGCTTCTCTTCTCGATGATTGCTTATTGTTTATGTGTGGACCTCGCCTTTGGTGTGTAGAGACCGACTTATGATGCAGTGAGTAGGTAGTTAGGTGAGGTTGTGATCGTTGTTGTGGGGTTGATGAGTCAAACCGCAGGTTGAGATTTTGGCTTTCTTGATTTGAATCGTTCTTTAGTAATAGTTATTACCGAGTAGCGTCTTTTGCGTTATTGATATACCATACCGCAATGCTCGATAGAAGTGAGAAAGATAAAGTCGTCTCAACCATGCAGGTGGGATTTTTAAATTACAAGTCAGTGAATATCATGTGACGGCGTCCAATTCATTATGACTAAAACTTCACAAAAAGTTTATACGCCGTAATATATGTACAACTAGGCTATCAAAGCCTTAAAAGCTGATACAAAATCGTCCCGTAAATCCTCCCAATGTTCAATACCTACACTGACTCTCAATAATCGTCGATCAACCCGGCTGTCCGACATGGCCCGCCACTCAATCAGACTCTCAACGCCTCCGAGACTAGTAGCATGATGGAAATAGTGCAGTTTGCTTGGCAGTCTTCTGGCCAAATCCGCATCTTTCATGATGATCGAAAACACCGGTCCATACCCATTGGGCATTTGTCTCTTAACCCATGGCTCCGTTTGGAGACTTGCGTGCCGGATTTCAGAGAGTACTTTCGACACCGCTTCTGCGTCGCTTCCAGCGCTTGCATTTGATTGTGTCAAAGCAGAGTGAAGGAAAGATACGAGGTTTGTCGCATTTTTGCTAGCCCGTTGAACTCTCAATTCGAGGGTGCGTAGACTGCGCACTCCGAGCCAACTTTCTAGGTTGCCCATGTTATTGCCGAGATGAAGACGCTGGCTAAAAAGCTGATTGAACCAATCCTTACGCTTTGTAGCCAGCACTCCGCAAAGGAGATCACTGTGTCCTCCGAAATATTTCGATCCCGAATGCATAATCATATCGGCACCAAACTCGAACGGATCCTGCAGACCAGGAGGGCCAAATGTACTATCAACAATAAGAAACGCGCCGCGAGAGTGTGCTTTTTGTGCATAATGCTCCATATTAAATGCTGTTCCGTCGGGGTTAAGAGGTGTTTCGAGTAGAATGACGTCCCCCGCTTGCAATTCCTCCGCAGGGCAATCCAACCCCAGTTTCTTTAAGCCAGTAAGTCGGTGGAAAATCTCAATGACACCATGGCAGCCATGGTAATTGTCCCCAATAGAAATGCTTTTTGGGTTGAGAAGCACCAATGCCCCATTTAGAGCAGCTAATCCCGAACCATATGCGAGGGCGTGTCCTTTAAGTAGAGACGAAAGGATAGCTTCGAAACGTGCAGAATTCGGCGCGGCAACTCGTGAATAAATCGGCTCTAAACTGGAAGGGTCTTCCTCGTACTATCATTTCCAAATTAGAAAAGAACTAGCGAGTTACCCCTAGAAAAACGTACGTTACGTTCTGCTGCTGGAATCAATTGCTCGGGATTTTTATGGTAGCGAAATGTCGTGGATAAGTGAATTGGAGGAGCAACGTCCGTAACATTGTTGACAACATCATCCGCATGGACTGCGAGTGTAGCTGGCCTGGCCGGATGAATCATGGTTAATCGACCGTAGGTCAGCGCAATTGAATTGGTCGTACTTTCAATAAGACTGTACAAATTTTTCTCTTCAAGAGCAGAGACAATTCGGAAAAATAGTGTCTATAACCTGAAAGTTATCGAACGAGACGGTAATAATATGAGGGGATGGTGGGTCCCGATGTCGCCAGTGCCAAATCCCTTATCAAATGACTGATCAAAGGGCGTCTATCCTTTACCCGATATCCGGTCACATGACTCGTTCGGGGTTTGTCCCGGCTGATTTTATCAACAAATTCTCGTTCAGGGGCCACTATCTGCGCATCGATGCCATCCGCGTAGGTTCCCGTGCGGAACCAGGCAGGCATGAGAGGAATTTTCTGCGATCTGCACGTATCTTAGCATAAGTGGTCTGCAGGCTCCATTAGGGTTTCCTTACCTTGCTCGGATTCAAACCCGATGGTAATGTCATCATGCTCACTCGCATAGTCCAGCATATCCAAGCAGACAAATCCGGATGCCTCCTCTTCATTTCTTTTGGGAAGAGCAAATTTAGCATCAATGATTCGGACTGTAAACTTCCCCGACCGGCTGGAGCTTTCGTAGTTATCGGTTCCTCTCAACACAAAATTCATGCATTTGCCGTGACTGAAGTCGTTGCCAAAGAAAGCAACCAGTTGAATTGTTTTGTTCTGCGCTACGAGTTGTAGTCGCACTCCGCTCGCTTCCCATTTTTTATGAATTGGAACGACCATGCGTCGACGAGCAATGGCAAAGCTGGTTGCTGTGCCATCGAAAACGACTCGGAATCCAGTCATCAACTCCTCGAATTTATGTAAACCTTATCAATGTTAGCAGCGATTAAAGGGTTCTAATACATCCATGTACTCACTTTCAATCGAGTTGAAGTCGAAACGCCGAATCGTGGGTTTAGTCTTGGACGCTTCCAAAAATTGCGTCAAGCGGTCGGGAAGCTCTTTTTCCACAAGATTCTCCGCAATAGCCACTGTCACGTCTTCTTGGCGTGCGCGATACATTGTGAAGGTAGTGTTGGAATTGATATCAAGCCCAATTTTCATTTCACCAGGGCCTACATTCTGTCAAATTACGCATTCAGATAGCAAAAATAGGAGTACTGCTTACCTAGGTTGATACGATCCGTAACAGTCCCCCAGTCGGTACTGACCAGCGCACGGAGGTTCTGAGAAAGTACCTGATGGCCAAAGTTATGTTCAAGATGAGATGAATCCAAGTCGATTACGGACACAGCTCCCGCATTGAATTTGAGGTGAGACATTCCTGGTCCTCCTGTCACAGGATCGCATGCCTCTTCTATCGAATAAGAGCGAATTGGGAGATTAGGATAGGTGATCTCATTGTCACCGGCGAGCATACCAAGCAAGAGAGAATGCATCAAAGTTCGCTGTTCGATGCGATCGAAAGTCAACACCATCGAACGCGCCCTTGAATCTTCCTTCAACTTAAGCAACAGTGCAGGCGATCCATTCTCACCACGAAGATAACCAAACACAATAGGCGCACCATGCCCTAGAGTATGTTGGACGCCGCTGAGTGTCTTGGTCTGAGGACTTGTTACCACAGAAAGTCGGAAGCCCCGGTGAGCTTTACGGGTTCCTGTGCCTTCAGTCCATGTAACAGTCTTTTCAAACAGCGCCATTCGACAAAGTGGCGAGGGTTCGGAAGGGAAGGCTTTCGGCGTGCCCGAGTCCATGTACTGAAACATTTTGAGAGTGTCATGGAAAATCCGCTTTTCACCGGCCTCAGGCTTAAGGCTCGCTTCTGTCTTAAGAGTGTATTGAACAATGTTCCAAAGCATCTTGAAGTCCTTTTCTTGGAATGCCACATTCAATTGAAAGCCGCGTCGAAGTTTCACTGTCATCGTCCGCGCTTTCACCTGCCATTGGACATCGTCCCACGTTGGTCCGTTTTTTCGGTCGCCTTGAATCAAGATGTTGACGAGTTCACTTTGACTGGAAATAGCCGCAAGAACGTACCAGTCAGATTTGTCTCGTCTGATGGACAGTACACATTGAATGGCGTATTGGGTGGTATCATCCTCTTCGTCTCCAGTCAAAGAGACTTCCACAAACATAGTCCCGTAGCTGAAATATCGGCTCGTATCGCCCACTAACATCATCTCAGGGGTACTTGCCAATGGGGAGGAGTCAACCAACATAGAGCGTCGGTTTGAGCCCGAAACTGCAGCCGCCACATCGGGTGCAAAAAACGGATACCGCACCCAGATGTTAGTGTCTAATGGATGGTCATTGACATGAGAGTTCGACCCTATAGCGGACAGAATCTGATTGCGTTTCATAGATACGGTCAAGGCACGTAAATGATTCAGAATCTTTTGGTGTATATTGACTAAACCCGCCATCCTATGGTCTCCTGTTGTATTGACCACAGCCACCAAGGTATCAATACTCATTCTACCGTATCGGGTCACCTCAGGATGCTTTGGCACAATTTGCGTAGAGATCCACCATGCTTTGCCAAGATCAACCACCGCCTGGGTAGCTTCGACGGTCTCCGGATTGCGTCCCGAACGTACAGCAGATTCCAATCTAGATCTACCGCGAAGAAACCACCACGTGGAGGCTCTCACCCATTCAGCAAATGACGTTTCCATTAGCGGTTTCACGTTCTCTGCGGCTAACCCGTACAGACTACTGAATCTCTCCACATAAGCCGTAAACTCCTGGTACGCAGTGTCACCCATCGCATTAGCCACCGACCGAAGAGTCATCTTTGCTGAACGCGGCGCAGAAGCAGCACTGGACGGCTTGGCAGGCTCTGTTATCACTGGGGGAGGTGGAGCCACTTGATACTGCGGTGGAGGAGTTGACTGAGGATGGGTTGCTTCACTGGTCGGATACGCAGGTTTGGACTCATCACCCGTTGGTGAAAGACTGCTAGAAGAACTTCCTCCGGGAGACAATATCTCAGGAATGTCTTCACGTCGAAGCGCTTTGATCTGATCATGGACAGCCGGGACCGGAGTCGTCCGAAGTGACAAGGTAGGTGTTCCAACATCAACGTCTAACGACTGCTGGGAAAGCTGGGACCGCTGCGATGTGAATGACGGACGGGTCGGTAGTGATGCCTGCTGTCGGTGCTGGGGCTCGTCATCTTCTTCAGTGGGTGAGGTAGGATCTTCCTGCCGTAGACGATGCTGTAACGCAAGACCTTCTTCCTCCTGCATTCGGGCATGTATCCGTTGGGCAAATGATTTCGAATCGGGGGATGCTCGGAAAGATAGCCTTGACCCTGGCTCGCCAGAGTTCAACGCCATGAGAAAGTCCTGATCCTGCGGACTTATCAACAGCGGCTTCCAGGCCGGTGCTTTTTCAGGTTCGCTTGCCGTAGCACCACTAGCAAAAGATGTATCTAGGTGTAGCTCGGGTAGAGTGGGCCGGCGATCTTGTAGGTCTTCGTATCCTCCATCATCAATATGTGATTTCGAGACAGCCTTCATAGGGCGACCTTTCTTGCGAGATATTTCCACTGTGGGTTCTTCAGATTCATCACCACCTTCACCCATAACTTCTGGCGGCCGATCCGTAAAAGTCACTCGTAGCCCTTTGCGTCGGCGTGGTTTCGGCGGACTAGCCTGAGTACTGGCTTGCGGGGAGAGGGTGGCATGTTGTTTAGGAGGAGATGGCGGCGTAGACAAGTCGCGTCGTTGTGATGTGTCCGGTTCAAATATGGGATCGGAGACAGAAGGTATGGCTGGCAGGGATTCAGATATCGGTTTGGGGCGGTTGAGTCCCAAAAAGTCGTCTAGTTGGCGCTCAGTAGCCTCTGCCTGTTTAGCGTCACGGTCTTTCGAAAACAGCTTCTCACGCCATTTAGATTTCTGGTCACCACCAGTCTTTTGTCCTCCCCAATTTAACCGTCTAACCGACTTGGATGACTCGAGGGGTTTGGGGGGTTCCTGGGTTGCGAGAAAAGCGAACGGATCATCTCCCGCCATGGCGCGCTGATAAGCTCCTGTTTAGCTTCCTATAATCCAAGTCAATCCACGTCGACCTCTCTCTGGACCATGACAATGCCAAGCGTTCGTCTGAGCTTGTTCAAGAGGGAACCTTAGAATTTTGAGATTCTTTCTCTGGCAGGATCTCTATAACAGTGGATAATCGCCGACCGACAGAAGTCAGTTGTCGCAAGCGGGGTTTCAAAAGAACACACGTGCCGGCAGTAGTTCAGGCACCAAATGCGAGTCTAATCGACAACTCCAAGCCGTTCAAACAGGGAACCGATGAGTTGAGATTCGACAATTGATGAATAACACACGGTCGCAAAAGAGACAGCGTTGAGGAGTGAAAATGGAGTCGATCCGGTCGCTCGCTCAATCGTCCAAGGGATGTTGTATATGTTGGCGAGGAAGGAAGCAGAGTAAGGTCTTCCACGGGCAAGAATAGACCAATTCCTGCCTTCTGATAGGTATGCCGTCACGATATTAACAAGGAGTATTAAGGGAGAAGGAGAAAGAAGAGAAAACAGAGAAACAGAGGACACTATCATTGGTTTCGTGCAGTGGCCAGCAGATAAGAAACACAGCGTAGATTCTTAGTCTGACCGCCTTCTACATAGTATTCGCCCTTTTTCTCCCTGTCTTAGAGACTCATACAGTTCCCACGGCTCATTTTATTCGATTGAAGTATTCTAGAGCCGCAGCGAATCAGCGACGCCGTGGCAGTGGTTCTTGACAAGTCAGGAGTTGTTATCGTGGATCTCATTAGCTGTCCTTGAACAGGTGTCACTAATATAGTAACATATGATCCAATCAGGAGACATGTTTCAGTACGCAGACTGCGGAGACTGTACCGCGCAATACGTCGTTACTACGGATGGAACATGGAGTATGCGGAGACTTTGATTATAGAAGCCCTGATTGGTGTGCATCTTTCCGTGTCGCACGGCTTACATTGCTAGTTGCGTATTGGGGGAACTACTCTACCGTACAAGAGACCCTTCTCTTGATAACGTATGGCTGCCTACAGTGACAGTAGTACAGTCACCACAGTGATGAGAATCTAGAATGAGTAACATGTACCTAATGACCGACTGGCTAACCATTGAGTCAGTGGTACACATACGTGTACGGAGACTTGAGGGTCAAAAGTATGTATGTATGTATGTATGTATGTATGTATGTGTTCGTACGGGTATTGTCAGTATGAGGAATTGACCTGCCACAAAGGCCCACCAGCCGAGATTAAGTCTGCGTGGCCACTGCCCTAATCTAGCCAATCAAGAAACACTCCATGAACCTGATGCTGATCTGAAACCGCGCTTTACCCTCTGTGGCCATCCCGCGGCAACGATCGTTCTCCACTGTCGCAGACTCGTTCCAATGTTCAGTCAGACACGTCAAGCTCAGGGGTTGCGCATCACCAATGTTTCTCGTGGTCTACATAGTAATCCGTTTGCACGTCGAGGAGATCAGGCGAGAGAAACAATCTTCCGATCGCAACAGCCACGGCGCATAAATATCGTCATCGCGGCCATCACCATTCCATGTTCAGCCACAGCCCCTTGATTGGCGATTGCCCGTTTGGGTATGGAACCGGGCTATCAATTCGCCAATCAGGTAGGATCTCACGATGCTCTTCTCTTTCCTCCTTCATATTTCTGATATTTGAGCATGCGTAAAGTGTAACTTCATCTAAGCGAGTCTAAAAAGGGAGAAACATGTAAGCGCCATATGGACGGACCATGTCTGAGTCAAGCTGGCTAATATTAGCTAAGTCCAGCTGCGCCACAGCATCCTTCGGGCAATATCATTTGTCTGAGCGGGAATCGAATCATCCGATTGTGGTAAAGTCACGTGACTAATAGGTAAAAGCTCACCGCCATGCGACGGGCCAGGCGGTAGCATTAATACTGCCGGCAGTAATGTAATCCGGAAATTTTTGTGACTGCCAACATTTGAACAGATTCGATAAACTCTTGAACAATGTCCACCACATCTATCTAGGGTCGATAGCTGCTGTTCACAAATGAGCGAGGATGGCATATTCGGTCCGATGGGGACAAACTAAAGGCCGACTGTCGGCATCAGTCCGGAATATCGATTCGATGCGCCGTCATCTTTCTCAACGCCGGTCTTTATTGGCTACGAATCCTGTTCGTCGACGACACCACATCGCACAACACATTGGCGCTAGATTCTTCTCTAGACACTACGCACCGTCCGCACAGCCAGAAACGCCCGATGATCTAAAAACAACGATCGATAATATCCTTCTGAAGACGGAGTTTGAAACCAAGAGGGATATTAGAGAATATTTACGCAAATGGCAGGAGCAGAACTTGACTTATCAAGACCCAGTCCGGGGTCCGGGTACCTCGAACGCGAATTTACCGCAGTCTATAAAATGGACTGGAAACATGCTTAACGATGGCCAAGCTGTCTATGAGGATGCCGTTGAACAGACTCATAATAGCTTGAATGAAGCCGTGGACTTGAATATTAATACAGACGACAACTACGAGGTTGCGGATATACTAGAGCCGGGCGATCTAGTTGGATTTTATTCGTAGGACGATTATTCCTGGCTTTGTGCTTTAAATTGCGCCTGTGTTCTAACAATATCCAGTGGGACCACTATGGCAACGCCTGCAGTATACATACGATCGGTTGAGAGACAAAAACAATATTATACGCTTAGAGGGAAGTGGCGAGTCGCATCAGATAAAGACATCGACATCGTGATCAAAAACTTCGCACCCAAGGAACTGACCGATGCACTGATCCCTTACCTTCCTGATACAGCGGTTACGCCGGACATCAATATACAACAAATAAGCGAAGGAGGAGTCCCTCGCTCTGCTTCAGCACCTCTTATGGCTATGCTTCAACAGTTTTCCGAGGCAGAGAAGAAACTTTACAGAGATAACGCCAAACGACTCGACAATTTGTATGCCTTAATCGCTTCTCCAGATAAGCGTGTTGTATATACTCTTCCGGAAATCGCGGCAAAAGCCCTTGATATCAGCATAGATGATGTGACCCCAGAAGCACTTTTCATGACACAAAAGGCTATTCAACAGTCACCCTTCCTTATTCTCGCTGACCGCTCGTCTATATTCTCTGATCGATACTTGGTGCGGCCGAAAAGCTTCGCAGACTGTTTCAACACTGTGATAGGGTGGGTTCGCGAACACGAAGATCATCTATGCCGGATTGCCCTATACCAACCATCCGATTTCAAAGGCCACCCACTGCAGAAGTTTCTCCAAAAGGCTCAGAAATTAATTTTGCAGAGTCGGAGTATCAGATCTCCAACAACTATGTCCAGTGTTGGCCCGTCTGCTCAGCAGTTCGAAGCGGATAGTTTGCCCGACGGACGGGCCTACCAAAAGGTGGTCACGGAGCAGTTTGATCATTCGGATAAAATCATCCTTGAGTATCTCATACATTTCTCAATCCCACCGCATCGGATCAATGAGACCTCGGCGAGATACGCTGCTATTCACATTATGCGGTCAACGGGCTTGTACACGGCTATAGAGCTTCAACGCGGGGCAATTCCACTCTTGTTACAGGAGCTAGGTATATTCCCTGCTTGGGAAAACATATATGCCTTGGATCACCTACTGGCTCTCCCAGGCCATAACATTGATACGGACGCTGAAAAGATGATGGAAGCTGCGCAAATCGCTGCCAGCGATCCCCATAAATACCAAAATGATACAATGGCAGATATGAGAGTCGACTGGGGAGACTTACCTATTTACTGTATCGACGACCCAGGTGCAAAGGAAATTGACGACGGTATTTCTTTAGAACCTGTCGCCGGAACGGACGACACATTTTGGCTTCGTGTGCACATTGCAAACCCCACCGCGTTTTTACCACCGCATGATGACCCTATTTCTGAAAATGCAGCCAGACGTCTGACGACTGTTTATCTTCCTGAGAGGCACTATCCCATGCTCCCGTCTAATTTTACGACTCAATCTTTCAGTCTTGCTCCTAATCGCCCTACCCTTACGATCTCAGCCAAAGTCAATACAAACGGTGATGTCTTGGAAGCAGATATCACGAATGGATTGGCACGAAATGTCATTTACCTAACTCATACCGGCTTGCGAAACACCCTTGATGGTCACACGAAGGGATCTCAGACATACATAGTCGGCAAAGAGCCCCCTTCGGATTATCTCGAGAAAGTAATTTCAGAATCTCCTGCATTTACCGAAGAGCAAACCAAGACTTTCAACATCATGCAAAAAATCATGACGCAAATCAATACCAAATGGAGAGAAAACGGTGGCCTGACCTGGCCTGACAGCATGGGTCAACAGAACCTATCCATCTATAGCGGCAAACCCATCCCGCCATTTTCGGTGCATCCAGACAAACTGGAGTGGGAAGGCGGTTATTTTCAGGGTGATCCTAGCATACTCCTCCCAGTCAGCGACATAGACCCTTACGACGTTCCCAATCTAAGCCGAAAGAATCTCGTGGCACTAGTAATGAGATTTGCATGCCACATTGCCGGACGATGGAGCGCAGATCGAAACATCCCCTTGGTATACGACGGAACCTACTTTCACCCTGAATATCCACCATTAACACCAGAAAAACTCAAAAACTTCACTGCAAACGATTGGCTCCGCTTCGCACCTCCCAAAGGGTACAGTTCCTCCAGCGTCCTGCCGCACGGCGGTCTAGGCGTCGACGCCTACACAAAAGTAACCAGTCCCCTGCGCCGATACAGCGATATGGTAGCCCACTACCAGATCGAAGCCGCTCTACGCTACGAAAGGACACACAACAAGAAATTCAACAGCACAGAGCCCGATGCCGCTGCTTCATTACCTTTCTCCACGGACAAAGTTGACCTCATTCTTGAGAATATGAAAGCCCAGTACCCACTTATAAAATCCGTGCAAACCCTCTCACAAACGTTTTGGGTGTGCCAATTCCTCTTCCGCGCTTTCTATTTTGGGGAATGTGAAGACTTGCCCGAGACTTTCCCTTGTTTGGTACGACAGCAGATTCAGGGTAGTTCATCTACGGATTCGAATTATGTGAGAGCGTATGCGGCGGATAATCTTCCCTTTGGTATTAGAGTACAGCTCTTTGTGACTGAGGAATTCCGTGATTTGGATACTCTGAGTACGGTGGAAGCAAAGATCGTCGCTGTTAATATGGCGAAGCATGTTGTTGAGATGGAGGTTGTGAGGAAAGTGAAGGGTTGGGAGAGGACCGGTGATTGGGCTTAGTCCACAATCAAGATGTATTATATTATAGGCATGTATATTATTATGTAGTTCATCTCCCTTAAATATGAACGACATCCTCAATCGGACAAGTTACACAGAGCTAACTACTCAGATACCGGGGTAGGTCTAGTATTTAACAGACTAGATGACGAATCCAGCGGTTTGCTACCTACGTACCGGATTTTCCCTGACGCGCCGCGGCTTTCCCTTTCCGTTTTAGTGCTCACCCCCTCGCCGCTTTTACTCACTGAGTAGAACTGAGCACGACCCTGAGCGCCGTGATCCGATCCGTGAGCCTTACATAAGCTTACGAGGATGCTCAGTGATCCAAAGCTGAGCAGACTGATTTGCTCACTGAGCACAATGTATGCCTCCATGGCGCTGGCACTTCTATTAGATCACCACTAACGACTTCTCCTCTACGAGTATCATATTAACGATGTCAAATCTAAATCCACATACTTTGTCTCGCACGTCTTATCTCTGCTTGACCTCGTATTAATAGCAGTCATAAACCATCCTGGCTATTCTAGTCAACTTCGCTAACGGGCAGTATGAGGAGTATTAAAGACCATGAGAAATTACGGCTCGAAATTGGGCAAACAGAGTAAGATAATGTAATGCCATATCTAACTTGTAAGTTGTCCTACTCACGGCATAAGAGTATACCAAACCTATAATACTAAGATTAGTTTCCTGTCACTCAATTTTGCTTACAGCACCGTGATATTTTAATATGCGGAGGTTTACTATAGTACTAAACGATTACTACCCTCTCAACATTTTTTTACTACCAAGATGACATAGTAAAATTTCTTATTAATACAGAAGCGAAATGCCTACAATGCTATTGCAGCGAACGAAGATCTAGTAGTTCTGTGACTGAAGTATCACGCTTTATATCAGTCAATAAGTAACTAACTACCTACACAATGGTCAAGGGCCCATGCTACTGCGGACCATAATAATAACTGAAGTTGGAAATATGGCATGACACTATATAGTAGTCAGCTTGCAACTATGATCAGAGACTATGCTAGAAAGGAGCTATACCTGCAATAACCCTATATCATATAACGTGGATGCTTCTCGAGGCACTATGTGGTCAGAGGGGGTTTTCTTTGTACTATTATCGCTGCTCACGGAGAGGGCGTTCTGGGTCATTACGCATATTGACCGGTTGGGTGAGGCCTCGTGAACGTGTTGTGGTGCGGTTGATGGGACGGTGCTAAGATTATTAAGCAGCACTGGATCAATTGTACCCGTCGGAGCGTTCGGTTGACTGGCTGCCAAAGCGGTGTTAACTAATACCTCAGGCCCATAATCCTGGTCGTCATTGTTGGACGATTTAGATTTGGGAGGTCGTCCTCGGCGAGGCTTCTCAGCGCCATTTGCTGCGAATGGAATCGGCTTGGTCGTTTCTCGTACGGTTGTTCGTAGCGGTTAATGCGCCGTTGGAGCATTTAGGGTTATTGGGCGTTCAATTAACATTACCACTGGCTCAGGCTCAAGCGCGCTGGCCTCAGCGGTTGGTGCAGTTGCTATTGGTTGCGCCTTTTTAGCGCGCTTTATCATGCTGGTTGTTGCTTTCTTAGTGACCTTTTTAGAGGCCGGTTTTTGTGCCACTTGTTGAGCGGCTTCGCTTGGTGTTGGATCAATGATTTACTGCATCATTTTCTCTTATAAATATTGAGGAACGCGATATTCCAGCCCATTCATAAGTATTGCCTGGCGCACACGATCTGTCGCTTCCTTACGGATAGGACAACTCGTGCTCACTGCCTTGTGGGGACCCTTGCAATTAGCACATTTGGGTGTTAAATCCCCACTCTAATTGTGAGGGCATTCCCAGGTCGGATGCTCCTCCGCGCAGAGTCCACATTAATATTTCCAACTCGGACACTGAGCTTGGACATGCCCATACTTTTGGCACTTTTGCACATCTTGCACCGTCCCTCTCGACAATAGGGCCTATTGGTGAGAGAATGGGACCGCCAAACCATACCCTTGCGGATCGCGTTATTGGCCACAATCGGGTTTGTAAACTCCATCAAGAGATCAGACAACGAGATGACCTGCATAAGAAAGAATTAAAGAAAATCAAAGAAGAATTTAGTACAGCCCTAGCAGAGGTTCTACATGAACTATAAATCCTGACAAGCAGACCGCAGGCACAACAAGCCTACTCCGAGTCATGCTCACAAAACAGCCACAAAGAGATCCTGCGCGAAATCCAATCCTTGCGCATCTCAATCACCACTCCAGATCCTACAAAAGACCCGTCCTACGCGGATGTTGCCTGCACACCTCCAACCCGTCAACTGAGCAATATATGGATCCTCTCATTGTTTCACACGACACTGACCACTATCACCGATACATTATATTGCACGATAGATACCTCAAAGATGGCAGATGATGAAAGCAATAGAATGTCCGCAGGCTCAATTAGGACAGCAGTTGAGAAAGAGATCCGAAACATGGAAAACCACATGAACTGGAGATGTCGCGCTGTTACCGTAGACCCAAAGAACACCAACCGGATTAGAATTGCTTGCCGAGATGAAGCGGAACACCAGCTGGTTAAGAAAGTTGCAGAAGCAAAGATTGGCGCCGGAGCCCGGGTGCTCCGTGACGAGCTTTACCCAATCAAAGTCGTGTGTCCAGGAGATTGACTCCAACTTGCCTCCCCTGAATCCCGGCGAGGCAGCGTACCCAGTCACCACCGTCGAGGCGTCACTACCTTTCCTACGTAATTGTATGAAAGAGAACTTCCGAATCACTCCTGTATTTACGATGCCCTTGGCACGTCGCGTCATGGATCCGGCTGGGGTAACAATCGAAGGGTCCCATTTTCCATACGGAGTGAGCTTTTTTTTTTACTTCCTTTTTCGACCTTTACCCAGAAGACCGGGATTTTGGAAACTGACGGATATTTCGTAAATTAGACATCTCTCGCCGTATGTAACCATGCATTTCACCACAACCCTGCAGTATGGGGTGAAGACCACAGTATCTTTAACCCATGTCGATGGGATGATCCCACCATTGCCACAAAGTCTCGTCTTCTGATGCATTTCGGTCTCTGTGGCCGTCAATGTATCGGCAAAACAGTGGCTACAACCAACATTTACAAGCTTTTGAGCACGCTCTTAAGGCAGTTTGAGTTTGAGTTGGCTAGCGACCTGGAGCGTATGAATGTAGCTAAGGGTTTGTACAAGGGCCAGATTCCGGAGATGGTTAGTGTTGGGATAAGTGACTTAAAGGGCCCGTTGCTGGTGAAAGCTAAGAACAGATAGCAGCCCTGAATATTGGATGATTTATACATGTGTTTCGCGTCTATATGTGTTGGAAGTGTGAAAGCATGTACAATGAGAGATCAGGGCTACCTAGGTAGAAGAAGTAGCAACATGACCAATGGATACTAGTTGAAGTTTGAACAAATCTAAAATTTTCCAACACGTTAAAACATGCAAAATCTACAAGGGCATAACCATTAATATACATAGTAGAGACAATGGTTAGTCATTTACATTAAAAGAATATAACCAGCCTGTAGACAGCGTGTAGGGTGCCAGCACAGGATATCGAGATACCCAAATTTATTAGTGATTGAATATCTAGCAACATGTTTCCTCATTCTAGGTATAGTCTAGTTACCTGTCACTGAATGAATGGTATTGAATATTGAAGGGTTCCATACATGCAATGATAAGAACCGTGAATTAATTGTCGGCAAATCTCTGCGCCAACGAATACACTGACAAGTCTGAAAAACTGTCAAGTGTTGGGACAGGAATTGCCGCCGTTGTGACGAATGTACCTGTCTTGGGTGCATCTGTGGACTTTTCCAATGAGGAGGAGATCGGCGTTATCAGCTCTTTGATCTGACTTGGCAAAAGACCCATATCTCGACTTTCCTGCCATAATTTACGAGAGGCATCAAATGCCTTGTCTATTAGGCCACGTCGCAGATCTTCAAAGGCGCGAAACGCGTCTTGCAAGGGGGAGTCATAATATCGGGTGAGGATCTGAGAAAAAAAGATAGCGTCTTCAAGTGCATATGTCGAAGACTCATCTCGGGGTGGCATCTACAATTCGAGAAACGAAAAGTTAGCACGTTAGTTGCGAGTCAATCCAACAGCAAGCGTGGAGTGCACATGATACATACAGCATGTGCAGCATCTCCCAGTAATAAAATACGGTCAATGTACCACTTCCGACCGGCTTGGACTTGGTATACAGGATAAAGCATCCAGTCCCGTGGCTTGTCTATCATCTCACGGAGACACGGTTGCGTACATTGCCTAGACCGCTCGCGAACCATATACCGGAGAGCAGTCGTCATTGCTCGACTGGTCAATTGGAACTCCATTCCAGAGCCGGCGCGGTGCTGGTCTACGACATGTTGGCTGACAGGCAGAATAGCTGCGATGAAGATCTTGTCGCGATTCTGATCGCAAAAGGTTGTCAGCAGTGATATCTGCCGTGAGAGATTCATAGCTGTGGTTTGGAAATAGAACGGCGACTTCATGGTACAGGCGTCAAAGGTAGATTGAATGAAGGAAATGCCGGTATACTCTGCAACATTTTGGGGATCGACGATTTGGGTGCGAGTGGGTGAATGGACGCCATCGCATCCCAGTACTAAGTCTCCCGTTGCAGTTGTTCCGTCGTCGAAACGAAGAGTAACGCGATTAGCATCATTCTCATCAGGGTATCCGTCAACGAGTTTTTTATTATAGTGGATGGAGATATTCTCTAGCTTTTCAATCACCGCGACCATTGCAATCGCAAGACTGGAGCGCATTACTCTCCGGGCGACAAAGTGGCCATAATTGTTTCCGTCTTCGTCAGTAAATCGGACCTGGCCCAAAGAACGGGAAGTACGCAATGAGAACAGCTCGACAGAACCGACTTGGATGCCGCCTTCTGACCCCAAATTATCAAGTTCAGACAGAACGCCTAGTTCATCAAGCAGCTTCTGTGCCATGGGAGTGAGACTGACAGCTCCTCCGGACGTAGACAGCTGTTCTTTACGCTCGAAGATGGAAATCCGGATATCGGCATTGCGGGGCATGAGGTTCTTGCGGAGGGCAATGGCACTGGCCAGGCCAGCGGTGCCAGCGCCCACTATGAGGATTTCTCTCAACATGCGAGAAAACGGAGAGAATTTGTAGAGACGATAAATAGAGTTGATGCGACATCAAGGAGATGATCTGCAGGGTTACTTAAGGCTGAAGAAAGCAACCAGAAGAGGAGAGGAGGAAGAGGAGGAGAAAGAAAGAGAGAAGCCGTTCGGGATTTGGAGAAAAGAGGGGCAAGGGCAAAGGGCAAATAATTTACCGAGATAAAGCCGATGCAGAATCTGCTCGGAGATGGTTCTGGTTGGCTGAGCTTATCAGAACCGCGTCGATCACCGAACCTCGCCCTCTGGCAATTCCTTCATCTGCATATTAACTAACTACTCCTCACTACTACTGCGTACTATCCTGTGTGGTGACATCTCTGGTTTTTGTATCGTTGGTATCATTAGGAAAGCCATCTATGCATTCCTTTTAATCAGATTCTCATCCCTACGAGGATTGCAGGGCCTGGCTTGAGATGGATAATATTCAAGAGCCCCGCGCTTCTCGCCTTTTCGAACGCCTGTCGCAACTCTCCAGTTACACGTGGGATCGTTCCATCGAGCCTTACTACTCGACCTACGACCACTGGCATATTTTTGGCCATCGACATTCCACTGAATATGACTCTTCAGCTTCGACGACAACCCCTTCGGGGTCGTCGTTGCTGGCTCGCAGCTCTCCAAGAATCCGAATGCGAGCATCGCCTCCTTCCGCGCATAGCGAATCCAATGCTGGATGCCAAACCTTGGTTCCAGTTGTAGCTCGTGTGTCAACTCATGTTCTGAGATTGGAACGAGAATTTCGTCTTCTCAAATCAATGGCACGAGCTTCCGATCCGCAAAATAATCATCACACCATCATTCCAATCGAATTAATTCGGCTGTCGGATGATTCTGAAGACGCCGACCCTCTCATCGCGTCCATTTTTGAGTCTCCTGGCCCGAACATACTGCCCAAATGTATACCGCTCAACTCCTCCTTCTTCTCGGCTATGGGAGAATGCGGTGAGGGAGCCCAGACTCCCATTGCAGTATTTCTCGACTTTGCCATTAACGCGTGTGATTGCCTGCAACACCTTCACCACGGACAGAAAATAATCCACGGCGAAATTCGGGGTGATACGTTCCATTTTAACCACGTAACCGGTGTTGTGAAACTCTTCCACAGCGGAAACGGCGCAGGATCGTTTGATAATATCCTTGGTGGCGGCTGGGGTTCATTTTCTAAAGATCCGGCAGTTAGAAACAAATTACAGTTTATTGCTCCCGAACAGACCGGCCGGTTACCTGCAGAGCCAGATAGCCGAGCAGACATCTATGCCCTTGGCATTCTTTTTTGGATGATGCTCGTTGGTAAGCCCGCCTTTGGTGGCACTGATCCAGTCGACATCGTCCAGAGTGTCCTGGGCAACAGGCTGCCAACGGTTACTTCGCAACGGATGGACGTTCCTGACGCCATATCGGACGTGATTCTGAAAATGACACGCAAATCTGCCGCTGAACGGTATCATACGGGTTCATCGGTAAAACGGGACCTCTCACAGATTCGTCAATTGCTCGAAAGTGGTAACATTGATGATTTAAAAACCTTGCAGATAGCACAGCATAATCCCTCATCCTTCTTCACCTTACCTTCGCATATGTTCGGTCGGAGTTCAGAATTTAATACAATTATCGACGTCGTCAAGAAAGTAAGTTCCTATCAAGAGCTTATGTTGGCAAAGGCGACTGTCCAGAATTCAAGTGGGTTGTACACACTTGACTCGAATTCCTCCATAAGCGGAAGCTATCTTGAGAACGTGGAAGTCGATTCCGTTTCCTCCAGCTCTGGCTCTACTACGCTGAAGACTAAATCGGGAAGCCGTTCCAATCAAGCCAAGCTCACTGTTTCTCAAGACTCTCATTCTACCAAGGAAATTCCGGACAACCACATACCTAGAAACTCCAACATGCATGGTCATGTAGATCCGTTGAATTCTCTACGCAAAAATTGGGTTGCACAAAGCTTTCGTCGCAATGGCAGGTGTGAAGTTATTACAATAACAGGTGAAATGGGAATAGGTAAAACCGATCTGCTGAACCGTATACAACCAGCCGTTCGAGAAGTGGGATACGTTTCTATGGCTCGCCTTGATCCAGCTCAAAAAATACCTTTCGAGCCCTTTAGAGGCATCCTTGCCAGTCTCCTCAGTCAGATCTTTTCTGAAGATGATGTAACAACTGAATATCACAGTTGCGTTCGTGCATCTTTGCAACCAATATGGCCAACGTTTCGTAAGGTTCTTGAACTACCTGAACATCTTCTTTCACTAGGTAGGCAAACTGTTCGACCGGAATCTCTGAACGTCTCGGCGACTCCACAAATTTCATCGACCAACGGAGAGCTACACAGAAGTGAACTTCATTCAGATTCAGGTTCAGACAATAACCCAAGCCAAAGCGATTTCTTCCTTTCCAATGCCGCCTCCAAGAACTTGCGATTGACGGAGACGTTTCTTCGGATCCTCCGAATTTTATCCCAGTACAAAATGATCTGCATATGCATAGACGATATTCATTTTGCGGATGATGAGTCCCTTGAAGTAATCCTCAACATCGTGAAGGCGAGACATTCTTGTGTATTGATACTCTCTGGCCGCCCGTCCGAGCTCAGATCTGAAGGTATTAAGTCACTTTTTGAGATAGGGACTCCCAGAGTTACCAGGATTGTCCTGAATCCCTTGGAAGAGGATGAAATCATGGGTTATGTGGCAACCACAATGCATCAAGACCCGAATTCGAGTGTGAAACCCCTCGTAGCTGTCATTCAGGAGAAAAGTCGAGGGAATCCATACTACATGCGGATCATATTAAGTACATGCTATAAGAAGAACTATATCTGGTTCTCCGGAAAGAATAACCGATGGGAATTTGACTTGAATCAGATATTTACCGAATTTTTAACCTCTTCAGCTGGAGAAGAACTCGGCTCCTCCTTCCTTCAAAGAAGTTTAGAAAAACTTCCTGCTCCAGCGCGTGCGATTTTAGTCTGGGGCTCTCTTTTGGGTACTACTTTTTCGTTTTCTTTGTTGCAGAAAGTCTTGACCAGTCCATTACTATCCCTCGATGCGGAAAGTAATGGCCAAGGTAATGGGAACTCCTCTTGTATAGATCTTGTCAGGCGGTCGGAGGCAGATTTAGTGGATGGGTTACAATTTCTCCTTCAGGAACATATTATCGTTCCCTGGGAGACAGATGATAAATTTCGGTACTGTCGACGTTCTAGGATATGGAAGAAAGAATATGCAAGCTAACTAATTGGAGCAGATTTGTCCATGATAGACTGGTACAAGTTGCACCCACTCTCAAGGAAAGTGATACGGTGGAGAGAATGCACTTCATTATTACCGAGGCCATGATAAAATCGGCACCTGATTCCGAAAGTCGTTATGCATTGGGACATCATATCGCCCTTGCGTCACGTCTGATAGAGGAATCCGTTGCTAGTAGAATTGAGTATAGAAGGGTTCTATGGGACGCCGCGCAACTTGCTGCTCATACTGGTGCTGGGTCAACTGCTTTATGGCTCTTCCGTCATTGTCTCAACCTTCTTCAGGCCAATCCTTGGGATGCCAACGCCCCGGACGTGGATTTGAATGAGACTTTATCATTACATGTAGCTGCTGCGGAAGCTTTCTGGTCTCAGGGTCGCGTCGAGCAGTCCAAGAAATTGCTCAATCAGGTGTTTTTGAATTCCACGAGCCCGATACACAGGTCCCGGGCATGGGTGGTAAAAGCAAAAATACACTCACAAAATGGGAACCACCGCCAAGCGATGGAATCGTTACTTACGTGCCTGGATGAGCTTGGTGTCCATTTGCGGGAGCCTACAACCTTCGAGCAATGTGATGTTGAATACGAGAAGTTGAAAGCTTGCATTGACGTGAACTTTTACCCAACAGTCGTCCAAGAGGACGTCAACATGAGCACAATTGGAACTGTGATGGCTGATGCAATGGTAGTAACTTATTGGGACGATGCGTTGGCCTTCTATCGAATGGCAATTGAGATGGTTAAACTACACGTCGATCGTGGTGGTTTTATCCACGTCATCATCGGCTGTGCTCATTTGGCAATGGTTGCTTTTAGTCGATTCCGGGACTTCGATACAGCAGTGAGACTCAGCGATTTGGCACAAAGCCTCGCCGATAGTTGCACAGACACATGGCTCAAACATAGGGCTGCCATGATACACAACCTGTTCGTGAGTCACTTAAGAGTCTCGATGGAATCATCTCTGCCTGTCCTTGAAACTTTAATTGAATCATCACTGTTGTCTGGCGATCCTTATGTCACATTAATGAGCTTGTCGTCGATGGCAATGACTCGACTGTATTTGGGACACGACATGGCGCAGTTAGAGATGTTTTGCGATGAAAGTCCTATGGATATCCCAGAGTGGCCCAGTGACACTCGCGCGGGTGCCACCATAATTGGCGTGCGGCAAGTTACGCGGAGCTTGCAAGGAAAAACTGCGTGGCAGAGTGCTGAGGATGTCATGTCAGATGATAATCATGAATCATATGAGTTTATAGCGTTCTTAGAAAGCCACGCGAGTAACCCTGATCGCCCTCGCAATATTTATCATGGACTATCGATGATCCCTCTCTATGTGTTCGGACATCATCTGAAGGCCATTGAGGTAGGCAAGTCCTTACTGGACACTGTTCCCAGCTTATGGTCAATTCGAGTGAGATATGCCGCAATATTTTACTTGGCACTCTCTTTGCTCACGGTCAGACTTCAAAATACCATGGAAGATGCCCAAGAGGATCTGCAGACTGTGCTCGAACTCAAGGACGAGATCGACTTTGCACAAAGAGCGTGTAACGCAAATTACGGCATGTGGTCATTATTACTAGACGCATTGATCTACGAAGTCCGTAGTGATACCACTTCTGCTCTTCAGGCGTATGAAGCAGCTCTCGATCACTGTCATATTCACGGATGGCCCCTTGAGGAAGCTCTTACTCTCGAGCTGCAAGGCGAATTCTTTATTCGACGTGGTATCAAAAGGGTGGCGTGTTCAGTGATACAGGAAGCTATTACCGCATGGTCTGCAATTAGTGCCACTGGGAAGGCGGCACAAGTTGCTGAAAAACATGAGTGGCTGCTCAAAACCATTAAATCCTTGAAAAATGTCGACGTTGGGTGCCAAACGCTAGAAGAGGAACTTGCAGTTAATCCTACGGCCACACAAGACATAGCGGAATCGCATAATATCATTGAGCACGATAAGCAGCAACTCTGGATTGCGAAGAAGAGAAAAGCTCAAAGCGATCGACTTCTGGATATTTCAAGTGTTGGCCTAGGTGGGTCCGAATCTCAAAAGTATTTTTCTACGGATTTCTAACGAGTTGACGTTCAACAGATATCATTGATTTGTCCATAATCCTGGAATCAAGCCAGGTCATGTCCTCTGAACTACGAATACACAAACTCCTCACAAGGATGGTTGAGATCTTACTGGAAGCATGCAACGGCGCTAATCTAGCGATCATAGCGAAAGATTTTGAGGGCATTGGATTCGCAGTTGCTGCAGTAGGGGACCTCGAACACGGGAACAGCTCATATGTTGATGGTTTACCATTCTCTGAGATGAAGGACAATATTGCCCAGCATGTCTCGCACTACGTCATACGAACAAACGAGGTCGTCCTCATTCAAAACATCCTAGAAGACGACCGCTTCCCTAATGTCACTGACACTTACAAGACGAAATATCCTCTGGGCAGATCTGTGATTGCATTACCCATATTACACATGGATAATCTTATAGGCGTCATTCAGATCGAAGGCAGCCCGTCCTCTTTCACTCAGAGAAATGTTGTTGTCTTAGAGTTGCTTTGCAGCCAGATCGGCATTTCCCTTGCAAACGCCATGCTTTTCCACGAAGTCAATAAAATATCCGCTTCTAACGTAACGATGATTGAAGTGCAAAAGCGTGCGCTTGTTCAAGCTCGTCAAGCTGAAGAAATGGCCAGGATTGCTGAAGCGGAAGCCATCCATAATATCAAGTTGAAAGAAGAAGCAGCAAACGCAAAGTCCACTTTCCTCGCCAACATATCTCATGATCTACGCACCCCAATGAATGGAATTATAGGTCTTTCTGAGCTATTGAGAGAAACGAATTTAAGTAAGGACCAAGGCGAATATATGGAGTCAATTCGGATTTGCGCAGACACTCTTCTAGCATTGATCAACGACATATTGGATTTCTCGAAACTTGAAGTGGGGAAAATGAAACTGTCAATAGTATCTATGAATTTGAAAGATACTATATCTGAGGTAGTGCAGGCACTATTCCATGCTAATCGGGACAACAAGTTGGAAACAGTTGAGAATCTGGACCAAATTCCTCCAGATCTGGTGGTTCTCGGCGATCCTGTTCGACTACATCAAATCATTATGAATCTTCTCAGCAATAGCTACAAGTTCACACCCAATGGATCCGTCAGCATCAGTGGCAAAGTAACCCGAGCAGGAAAACGACGAATTCGTCTGGAATGCTCAGTATCTGATACCGGGATTGGAATTTCCGATGAACAAAAGTCACGATTGTTCAAACCTTTTTCTCAAGCCGACAGCTCTACGGCAAGGTCGTACGGAGGAAGTGGTCTTGGCCTGAGTATTTGTAAGGCGATTATCGAAGACGTCCTCGGTGGAACAATCTCGCTTGAATCCACTTTAGGAGTGGGCACAACTGTTACCTTCCACATACCCTTTCACAAGGCTCCCAGATTCACCAGGGAAAGAGATCAATTGCCGCTGCTGATCACCACAACTGAGGCCGCAAGCGAGCGAGAGATTCAGGAATTACCACAATCAATGATCCGCGACCTCAAAGTGATCCCCCGCGGTCAAATTCGGGTTTGCATTGCTGAAGATAATCTCATAAACCAAAAGATTGCTGTCAAGCTCGTTACTAGCCTAGGGCTACAGTGTGAAGCTTACAGTGACGGTCGACAGGCTGTTGATGCTGTGCGAATGCATTCCAATGAGGGCAAACCCTTCCACATGGTGCTAATGGATGTGCAAATGCCCGTTATGGACGGATACGATGCCACTCGTGAACTACGCAATGACCCAGATCCCGACGTGAAGGAGGTCTTGGTAATCGCCTTAACTGCAAGTACAATCGAGGGCGACCGAGAGAAGTGCTTTCATGTTGGAATGAACAACTATCTTTCCAAACCAGTCAAACTAGCTACGCTGAGAGGAATGTTGGGCAATTATGTCTCGGTGATGTCTTGACACGGTCCGGTTTGATTTGGGTGGGAACAGTCCAAGGAAATCCGAGCAAGAGGAGCATGGGGAGATGTCAAGACTCCGGAAACAAATGACCATTATGTACGATACCAACGAAACGTTACGTCGCGAAATAACCCAAGCAACCAGGGGACAAGATGTGGTGGTGGTGATGGTGATTGACATATATTGCTCAACTCCGATAAAATTTCAATGCTGTGTGTGGTATGAAGGCTGGACCTGTTCTGGAGTTTGTTAGAATTAATTGTGTGATAACATCTGGAATGTTTTTATAATGATCTTTCCTTGTTGTGAATATATGTGTTTTTTCCGTCAGAAGTATTGCAGTTTTGTAATTGCAAATACATGTATAGCCTAACATACAGGATGGCTTAATAGGGAATTATTTGATGTGAATTTAGTTCAGACTGGCTGCTGAAAAAATAATTTGGAGGGAATAAATACATACAACTAATATAGTAGCTGATGGGAATAACTGTTCTGTTTTCTGTTACTCGTGATATTTGCGGAATATTTGATCAGACATATTTTGGTAGGCTGAAAGGGCTACCATAGCATCACAGGGGTTTGTTTTGCGGTGACAAGGAAAATTGGAGAATGGGATCTGGAAAGCAGGTGTGATGGTCAGCGTGTGTGTGTCTGTGTGTGTGTGTGTGTGTGTGTGTGTGTGTATTTAATGGCCGTGGTTCATGACTCGCACGCTTCCCACCGATCCCTACTGGGACATAGGCCGACGAGGGGTAAATCTCGGGCTTCAGGTCCTATCGGATTTATATACAAATAAGGGACTCTTCGGCGCATTTCCATAGCTGCCGTGGTCTTACAGGGAGGTCCACTTGGAGTGGGTTTTGGGTATTTGCCAGCTGCAATGGTCCGCCTACACTCCATGGCCTATTACTCCACCACTATCATAACTGAGCAGTAAGTTTTGCAGAGAGGGAAAGAAAGAAGAGAAGAGAAGGAAAGAAAGAAGAAAGAAATATAAAGGAAGAGTAGGGCTGTCTTAGCTAGGTGCTAAGGAGAGGTTGGCGAGGACAGATATCCTCAAAGAAGTGGGTCTCTGCTAGCCATGTGGCTAGCTTTTGTGCTCCTTTAGCAGTGCCTAAGAGAAAAGAGATGACCTCAGAAGGGGGCCCAGGAGGCCGGGGGGCTCGTCTCTTAGCTATATGGCAGAAGAAGAAGTGCAGAGGTGCTTTTCGTGCTCCGCATCGGCAGAGAAGGTGAGCATCATCATGGTTAAAACGTTCATGGTAGTCTGCAAAGTCTCCATGACCAGTACGGGCCGCAATGATACGGCTGAGGTCAAGTCGGTTGAGTTGAAGCTCCCCAGGGCGCTTGGGGGAAGTAGTTATTTCTAGATCTTGATAACTCTGTGGTGCCACCTTCTGCCATTGTGACTGAGCAGCGGATAGGGATTGAGTCTTGGAGTATCTCTTTAGCGAGGCGTATGAGGACTTGTGTGGAGCAGGAGGGATAGAGGCAGCTTCCTCTTTGGCGGCGAGATCAGCCGCTTCGTTCTCAGGGATTTTGGCGTGTCCAGGGACCCATCGGATTTGAATGGATCCACCTTTGGTGTGAGGAAGCCTTTTGCGGAGTGGCCAGGCGGCTGCAAGGGTGCGGAAGGATTCAAAGATTTCTTGGGAAGATCCTGTAGAGGGAGATAGAAGGCGTGTGGCAACTTCCAGGTTGTCAAGGCAGATCCATAGGTTGGTAGCAAATTGAGCTGTTGGGTACGCTATTGCTGCTTGAGCACCAGCTAGAGCTGCTTCTGCTTCTGCATCGAAGATCTCTTTCCCGTGTCCATATGAGAGTGAGGAGCGGAGGAACTGATGGTGTGCTTGAAGTCCAATATAGCCACCCCCTGCACATCCGTCTACTAGCCTAGATCCATCTGAAAAGATTACAATATCCGAGCTGGGGATGGTGCGTTGGAAGTCTGCGAAATCAGCCGCTGCCTGTTCCTTAGTGCGTCCCATGGGAGCTCCTATTCGAGCTTGGGCATTCTCGCGAGACTCGCGAGGGTGCCAGGGAGCGTATTGGAGAGGATTTATCTGTTCAGAATTAGGGAGGGCCAGTATACGGCGGGCAAAACGGCTGGTTTGTCGGCCATTACTAGCGATCTGTTCTGCGCGTCTTCGAAGTGGGTGATAGGGATCAAGACGCCGTAGGCGGACAGTTGCAAGAAGGGCCATTCAATCTAGTTCAATATCTGGTGGAGAGAAACCAGACTCTCGATAAAGGACTGGCTTTGGGGTTGTACGGAAGGCTGGAAGGACTGCTCTTGCGCCTGTTAGTATTACTTTAGTGAGTTTCTCAAGATGTTCTCCAACTCGGTTTGAAGTCTGGGAAGGCCCAGGGCGAGTACGTCCTGGCCACCAGGTTTCAGCGCCATAGTATGCTTTATGGAGTACACAGGCTGATACAGCCTGCTGTAGTAAATGAGGTTTGACTCCTCGGACAGTATTCCCTAGAGAGCGGAGGGCATTAGCCACAGTGAGGGCTTTAGATGCTGTTTCTCCAACGTGCCATTTAAACGTTAGCTTTTTGTCAAAGAGGATTCCTAGCCAACGTAGATATAGCCGTTTAGTGTTTTCTGATATTGTGATAGATCCAGCTTTCACTAAAGGTGTGCAGGTTGGTTCCTGGTCTGCTTTATGTCGGGAGAAGTAAAGTAGCTCATATTTATCTGGTGCGAAAGTAATGCCCTCTGCAGCACCCCAGTTGAGAGCTTCTTGGAGGGAGTCTGATAAGGCTTCGCAGTTAGTAGCAAGAGATGTCGAGATTGCCAGATTAGCTGCGTCGTCCGCATAACCAAATCTGTTCCTTGGGTTTCCTAGACGGAATAGAGGTGCTATGTAGAGCATGAAAAGAATGCCTGAGACTGGGGATCCTTATGGAAGACCGCAGGCAATGTCTGTTGAGGGTCCAATCTCTCCATCAAGTCGGATCTGAACTGATCGCCCAGTAGCGAAGGAGGCAATCCAGAGAACAAGATTAGTGGGCCAGCCCTGCTCACGTAATCTGCGGATCAGTCTGCCAGGAAGCACGGCATCAAATGCGCCCTTGACATCTAGGGTGAGGAGTGAGGCAGTCATGCCTTGATTTAGCGCTTGTTCGACATCATGTGTTAGGCATGTGGTTAGATCATTTGCAGATCTTAGTGGGAGAGCTCCAAACTGTTGCCTTGCTAATACTTTGTAGTGTATAGAGATCCATGCCATATTCCGTGCCACCAAGCGCTCAAGTCCTTTGCCAAGGACTGATAGGAGAGCGATTGGTCTGTACGATCTGGGTGAGGACCAATCAGTCTTTTTTGGTTTCTGGATAATTGCTAAGATTGCATGTCGAAAGCATGGTGTGACGGTCAGCAATGAGGTTATTCGCAAAAGTTCGGTTTGTTATTGTGCTTGTTGTTGTTATTGGTTATCTAAGCTAACTACAGCTGCGCTGACCCCTTTACGGAGATCACATGACTCTCGGATCATAGTTGATCCGCACCGGAGGGAGATCCACGGGTGTAGCACGCTGGCAACATAGGAGGGTTCGTGATCCTGTCACGTGATCAAGAAACAGTATCGGAACTTGCTGTGCACTAGCACAAACTCAGTTAAGCTTAATACTCCTTTATAGTGGAAATATTGATATTGACCTTATTCTGCGCACACTCTTCTATCTACATCTTGATGGGATTTTTGGACACTATTTATGCTTGAGAATCCCATATAGAAGATATCCAGACAATCTCAATAGAAGATTCTTGACACAAAGCTGTAAAATTGATTCGTAGATTCAATCTTGTGACTTCAATTCTCGAATTTTCCTTGTATCAATGTTGTAGGCTTTCCTTGATTAGGTTTAGCTTACCTAATCCTCGACAAACAGTACATCTCGTTTGCAGATAGCCTCATGTTCCTAGTTTTTTCTTTCTTTCTCCATGTTTGGTTTTCTTGTACTTAGCTGCCAATATGACCATTGAATGAGCCCTCACATTTATTTTGTGGTTTTGGAAATGCTGTCCCTGTGAAGGGCTCAGGCCAATATCTTATTGGGTAGCGTACAACGAAATTACTAAGGATGGAGAGGTAAGAAGACTAGGAATGAGCAGCGCGCTGGAGCCATATAAAAGGACTGTCAACACGTGATCTCTGCCTAGCGTACTCCGGCCATCTCCATACAATAGTAAATAACTAGATACAAAGATATAACAAGCATGACAAGGAAAGGAAAGGGTTGACGGGAGTTTCCAACAAAGCATTGACGTAGGGCAACGTTCACATAGCCCTAAGCCGTAGAGCGGTAAGAACCGTCACAGTCACCGTCACCGTTTATCCAAATTGTATCAACATTGTTTGTAAAGGAGGTAGCTCTAAATAATGGGCCAGGGCCGTTAAGAATAGCCTCATGGAGTCATCAACAATGACAGTATAAGACCGCTTGCTTCTTTGTGGCATAAACTAGATAGCGAGGACGTATTAAAAGCTTAGAAAGAAATACTAGACTAGTGTGACTAGTGTTAGGTGAACGAACAGTGAGTGAGAAGCCCACCATGCTCGGTGAGCGCTCACCGAGCGACCACACAGTCCCTGAGATTTGTCACGTGACGACCCTGAGCGGCTCAGTGAGCGTGAGTCCGGACTGAAATCTATTCAGTGAGCCGGACTGTGAGCGCCCTCACAAAAGCGGCGGCAGCTGAAAAAGGAAAACCCCACCTGGCAGGAAAAAAATGGTTTGGACAGTGACCTATGTACTTACCCTCTGTGACCTGTCTAGATATTGTGAAGGTCCGAGGTCTACATAAGACGACAGTTGTAGCAATATTCGTAGAAGTTCAAGGCTCCGTGAAAGCTATAAAAGCCTCTTCCTTTGGTTCCAAAATCTTTTACGGTTACTTAGATGAGACTAATTCCATGATTTGATTTACGTATTGGTTCTCTTCAATTTGGAGGAATAGGATAGCACGGTGTGAGAAGAGTCAATTCTGGCAGTTTGGTAAAACTAGTTCGATAATAAATAGGGCAAATGATACCCGTACAAAACTCCGTCAACGCCTTGAGAATAAGAATGAGAATGTCTGAGTGAATTCACTGATTCAGCAGCTGGGATACTGACATTACTTGGTTTCCACTTGCTGGCTTAGCCATAGCTGACGAGGATGCGGGTAATCTTGAGACAAAGCGGGCGCCACAGTGTTCAAAAACCGCGGCATTCATCGGCTGGCTCCTCTTCATCCATTCGAAGAGAGTGTTGTTGCGATAGTGCTTCCAGAAGACCTCAAACTGAATCGATGTACCAGCAACACCTGCGGCTTTGAAACCTTCATGCAATGCATGATAGTAAGCTTGTTGTAGGAGCGCCGGGTCCTGGTATTGATCCAAACCAAATTCCCTCCAAATAGCCTCTCCCCACCGGACTTTACTCATATCCGGTAAATCTGCGCTAAATGTAAGAAAAGCGTATGTTATGTAGGCTTTCTGTCTCTCCTGCTTCACATGGTCACGAATTTCGGTGAGTTCGCCCATTTCAGCGACGCATTCAATCCAAGTTTTATTAGCTGGCACCCAATCCCCTCCTATCATGGGAGTCCATCGACTCTTAGTCTCCTCAATCCATTTGATATCTTCGGATTTTGGGGTTTCTTCTTTAAGCCAATCTGCGAAAGTATAACCCTTCTCACTATTTTTCATTCGATCCATACTTTCCGCACCCTCTTTCAGAATGGCCTTGGCTGCAGTGGTCTCGTCTTCGAAGCGGTGGTGCACCAGATTCAAGTAAATCCCCCAAAGACGAGGTAATGACTGTCTGATTAGAGTGCAGAACATCAAACGTCTGAGAATCCAAAAATCGCAGGGGGGAAGTTTAAGTTCAAGAGCTTGGGCGAATATGCGGGAACGCTCTGGTAACTCATACAGTGTGGACGAATCCATAGTTGCTTCAGATAGAGGAACACCGCAGAACTGTCAGATTATTAAAGAGAGGAAGTTGGGGCCAATAATGTAGTATTGCAAGTATTGGGAGGCGGTAGGATATCAAGATTTTCGGGACTTGCTTGATGCTTGTTGTCCAAATTCAGGCTTGCAAGAGGAGCTATCTGCAGCCTTATAAGCTTTCGCCAGGTTGATGAATCAGAGTGTATTGACTCAAGTTTAATTGCCTTTCGAATCATGATACACAGTCATATTTGAGCGGATGCCTCCAGAAAGATGGGAGATCGGTAGTCAATGTTATGACTAGGCCCAAGAATGACTCCATGCGAATAGAGAAGAGTAAATCGGGTGACTTGTTAAGATGACTCGTACAATGGACTCGTCTTGATCTCTTCTACTGGGTTTCTTCGTTAGCACTAACAATCCGATAGATGAAGATGGGATGGCGAGTAACCTGGGATGGTACTCATGTGTCTAGTCTAAGAGTCACATATTGGCAGGTTTCCTATCATTGCGCGCCTGTTGCATTTAGGCAATTATTTGATACTTAGGTACAGTGTATTCGATTTTGCTTTCAGAAATGGGGAGCACTAAACCCAGCTTGCTGTCCAGGAGCCGAATATCTGTGGTTGCCTCGTTCAGTATAAGGACTATAAGATCCATTTTCAGATCCGTTGATCTTCGGTGAAAGGACTACTTACATTTACGGGAGCCAATATGTTGCCATCCATGCCTCAGAGAAGCTCGATCCTGTTCTTTCAGCATGATAACTAATTCCTTTCCATGACAGACTAACTGGGCCTAGATTTCCTGTAACGTCGATGATATAATTCAGACCGTGAAACTCAAATCGAATGCAGGATTCTTTGAAAAAGATGTATGGAACGTGTAATATTGATTCAACCATGACTACCAAAACACACGTTATTATCAAAACAGACTATAGTACAAGGCCCGCTCCATTTTCGTGGAACGAGGATATTATTCATGAATTTCGCAAAAGCCTCGTGAGCACTTTTATTGTACGTCAGAGGGAGCTAACTGTACAGGCTCTGTCGTCGGTTTGCGATGGGAGCGGAAGGCAGGATATTCGGGGAGCTGGTTGCAGTGAGAGCATTTATAGACTGTTTGTAGAAGATCATTGTCAGTAAATTGATTCATCACAAGCTTCCCTTCCAGATCTAGTTCGGAGTACTAGAAACACGAATTCATGTGAAATCTTCATGAACTTACGGAGGAATGAGGAACTCGCTCAAACTGCTGTGGAAGAAGGCAACGGCGGCCTAAAGGTGAAAAGTCAGCTCACTCATTCCAGATACCGAAATATTGTATCATTAAAAGGTTCTGGCATACACTGAAGATGACAATACTCCTCACAATGGTGGCGTTCTCTGGGTTGGTGATCTCCTTATATGTGGCGCCGAAAAGACCGGCTTGTTCTTGATCGCGGCGACCGGATTGAACGACAACACGCTTGGGAGGCATTTTGGAGAGATTGATATGAGTTAAAGGTTGAAAGAGCAGATATAAAGGTTCGAAAAATCCGAATATGTCGATGGCAGTATATCTCCGTCGAGTGCTTGGTTGATGGTGATGCGTTGGAAGAATTCTTTTGCGGAAATTAGCTTGAGGCCATTGGATAAGATTTTGCGGTCCAAGCTTTCTGGACAGCCGTAGTTTATCGTTAAGAGCTCTCACATGTTATACTTCAAAGAGCTTTACTTTACCAGATTTGCTACGTCTGCCAATGATTTGATTTTTTTAAGGCAATCTGTTTCGCAGACCTTGGCCCTTAGTCGAAATCTCTCCGGTCACATATAACGCGTTCGCAGGATTGATCGAGACTAATCTTACCTCCGAATAAACAACTCATAATTCGCGGAGGGGCAGAAATGGCAGGCATTGACGATATGTTCAAGGTACGCATTAAAAAGGATGAATTGCGTATCGAGGTTATATACAGTGTCTGATGGTATTGTCACAGAAACCTGTAGTTGTGCAAGGCAGCGGCAAGCGTAAGCTCGAGCAACCGAACCATGATCCCAGTACGTCGAACCCAAGCCTGAAATCCTGTCGCGCAAACTGCTAATCCATCCGAATAGACGCATTCTATAAAGCGGCAAAATTAGATGCAAATGGCGACGTCAAGGGCAAAGGAAAGGCAGCCGCTGTCGACGATGAACCGGAAGACGAGAGCGAGTTTGCGGGACCCGAACTTCCTCCCGATTTCGAGGAAGATGTTCCTGATGACGAGGAGGGACGATTTTTTGGTGGAGGTATGGCAAAAGAGACGGCTCAGGCTATGGACTACTTGGACCGACAAGATCAGGATAGAGAAGCAGCTGTGAGTGATATGAGCAGAGACAAGGGGAACATGCGGCTAATATCGTCTGGTATAGGTAGAGAAAATCGACATTGCATGGGTAAGGCGCTTAGCTTTGAACTTCGAAAAGCGCATATCGAAGAACGCAGAGCTACGAGCGAAGTTCGAGAATGATCCGCAAAAGTATGGATGATGCACGCACTACCATAACTGCAATGGCTAACGCGCTACCAGATTCATGGTCTCAGAGGCCGACCTCGACGCTGATATAAAGGCACTTTCCGTGCTATCAGATCACCCCGAATTATACGAGGAATTTGCAAAACTAGGATGTGTCTCTTCCTTAGTTTCTCTCCTTTCACATGAAAATACAGACATTGCGATTGACGCGATCCAAACTATATCAGAATTGACGGATGAGGATGTGCAAGCCGAACAAAATCAGTGGGACAGTTTGGTCAATGCAATAGTATAGTTTATTCCCTACCGTTTTGAGCTCAGAGACTAACGTCACAAGCTCGATGCCGATGTAATTGAGCTGCTGGCTCAGAATCTTTCACGTTTAGACGAATCGCAGGACGCGGACCGAAGTGGTGTCTATTACGTGCTAAGTGAGTTTTAACCTTCATTGCCAAAGTTCCTATACTTACGTGGAACAGATGTACTCGAGAATTTGGCCTCGCAGTCCTCAGTAGCTGAGAAAATTGGACAGGACGCCAACGTTATACCATGGCTACTGTCGCGCATTCAACAGAAAGAGACACCCGTGGGACAAAACAAACAGTATTCTGCTGAAATCCTTGCTATTATTCTACAGTCGTCTCCCAAAAACAGAATTAAGTTTGCCTCGCTCAATGGAGTGGACATCCTGTTACAGTTATTGAGTTCATACCGTAAACGGGACCCGGAGAAGGACTCTGACGAAGAAGAATATGTGGAGAATCTGTTCGATTGTCTTACGTGTGTGGTCGATGATGAAGAAGGCAAGGCAAAATTCTTAGAGGCTGAAGGTGTTGAGCTTGCTCATATCATGCTTCGAGAAGGGAAGCTTAGCAAACAGAGAGCATTGCGGACACTGGATCATGCACTCTCGGGACAGACAGGAGCAGCGGCATGTGATCGGTTGGTTGAGGTCGCTGGCCTCAGGACGGTATTTGGTATGTTCATGAAAAAGCAAGAAAATGAAGCCATCGAGCACTTGCTGGGTATATTTGCGTCTCTGCTCCGGCATTTACCTGGTGGTTCTGCTCCCCGTATACGTACACTAGCCAAGTTCATGGAGAAGGATTATGAGAAGATCGAGAAATTAATCAAGTTGAGGAGAGAATACGCCTCCCGGCTGAAACCTGTCGAGTCTGGTATCGAGCAGGAACGTCAAGGTCTGGACGAGTCAGACCAAGAAATCATGGCAGGAGAATGGCTTTCACGCCGGCTGGATGCCGGTCTTTTTGCGCTCCAAGTAAGAATTTCAATGAGCCTCCCTTCCCAAGACATATCCCGCACTAATGATTTTTAGACTATTGATGTTATTCTTGCTTGGCTCATTGCTGAAGATGATGGCGCGAAGACTAAAATATCGATATTGCTAAGTGGCCGAGACGAGAACATCTCATTAATACGGAAGACACTTGAAGGTACTGGCCTGAACTACGCTTGAATTCCTGGTATCTTGGGCTAACTTTACGAAATTTTAGATCAGGTGAAAGATCTCGGAGATGAAGACGAGGGAGAGAAAGACCTGAAGGATATGTTAAGCACGTTACTGCACTTTGTACAATAACCACTACTTTACAGAATGTACAATAGCGCAATAAACAGCATCATCAATCTAAGATCAATCTTGAAACATCGCGAGTTGTCGTAGAATGAGGGTTAATAAAATGTTGAAACCAAAATCACGTGACTAGCAGAATACAGACGTTGAACTACGGGACGGTTCGCAAATACCACAAAATTACCAAAAAAAACCCTTACATTTTTGGTGAAACGGTATTACGTTTACGTTCTGACATAGAAGAAAGTCACGTGATAATAATATACACTAAACCTTAATGGGAATAGGCGGTGAACCGCAGTGGCGGCCGAGCCGCGCCAAGAAAGAAAGATCCAGCCAGAAACTCCAGTCGGAGATAGGACGCAGCGATCGATTTATCACTTCTTCATCTCCCAGCCTCTCTCTCACTCTCACCCACTTATCAAAACTACCCGTCGAGAACTTGAAACTTTTGAGCGCTTTCACGCGCTTCAAGTAGAAAGTTCTTTGCCTTACCCTTTTCTCTCAAGTCTTTGTCCAGGGGAGTGAGTTGTTGGCTACCGCGCGCATCTCATAATGGCGGACTACGAGGAGGTGTACGAGGATGAATACTATGAGGATGAGGAGGAAGGAATCACTTCAGAAGACTGTTGGACCGTCATTTCATCGTATTTTGATACAAAAGGTCTTGTGTCTCAGCAGTTGGACTCTTTCGATGAATTCATCTCGTCGACGATGCAGGAGTTGGTGGAGGAGCAAGGACAAGTTACCATCGATCAGACCATCACGCCGAACGAGGACGAAATCGATCCGGTTGTTATTCGCCGCTACGAGATTAAATATGGCACGATCATGCTTGCCCGACCATCTTTCTCTGAAATCAACGGAGCAGCAACCCTTCTACTACCCATGGAGGCGCGTCATCGAAATCTTACCTATGCCTCCCCCCTTTATCTCAACGTTCAGCGACGCTTAACTGAAGGCCGCGAGCGCAAAGTTGCCGACCGCGACGGAGAAGGACTCGGCGATGAAAATGAGGAACAAAAGCCTGGTGGGACATACCTTGAGTGGGAGGAGAAACCGTTGGTCATTTCAGAGGAAGAGGCAAAGGGCTGTTATATTGGCAGAATTCCTATCATGTTGAAGTCGAAATATTGCTTGCTGAGAGACCTCAGCGAACAGAGCTTATACAACTGGAATGAATGCCCGTACGACTCTGGTGGTTATTTCATCATCAACGGCAGTGAGAAGGTTTTGATTGCCCAGGAGCGAAGTGCTGGAAATATTGTTCAGGTTTTCAAAAAGGCACCTCCCAGCCCGACGCCTTACGTCGCAGAAATCCGAAGTGCGGTCGAAAAGGGTTCTCGCATTCTATCTCAACTTTCACTCAAACTTTTCGCCAAGGGTGACAGCAGCAAGGGTGGATTTGGCCCGACTATCCGGTCTTCTCTCCCATACATCAAGACAGACATTCCCATCGTCATCGTGTTCCGAGCTCTTGGTGTTGTTTCTGATGAAGATATTCTTAACCACATTTGCTATGATCGTAACGACACGCCTATGTTGGAGATGTTGAAGCCTTGTATTGAAGAAGGGTTTGTTATTCAAGACCGTGAAGTCGCCCTCGACTTTATCAGCAAGCGTGGATCGTCACAGACGAGTATGAGCCATGACAGACGTGTGCGATATGCTAGAGAAATCATGCAGAAAGAGTTCCTTCCTCACATTTCCCAGAGTGAAGGAAGTGAGACTAGAAAGGCGTTCTTCTTGGGATATATGGTTCATAAACTGCTTCAGTGTGCTCTCGGCCGTCGAGATGTTGATGATCGTGACCATTTCGGTAAAAAGCGTCTTGATCTGGCTGGTCCACTACTTGCTACGCTTTTCCGAACTCTCTTCACCCGTGTTACAAGAGATCTTACACGTTACGTCCAGAGATGTGTTGAAACAAACCGTGAGGTGGTTCTTAACGTGGGTCTCAAGCCAGCCACTTTGACAGGTGGTCTGAAATATGCTCTCGCTACTGGAAACTGGGGTGAACAGAAGAAGGCAATGAGCTCCAAAGCAGGTGTCTCTCAAGTGCTCAGTCGTTACACCTTTGCTTCTACTTTGTCTCATTTGAGACGTACCAATACTCCTATTGGTCGTGATGGAAAGATCGCCAAGCCCCGTCAGCTACACAACACTCACTGGGGTCTGGTTTGTCCTGCTGAGACTCCTGAAGGTCAAGCTTGTGGTCTAGTCAAGAACTTGGCTTTGATGTGTTCCATCACCGTGGGGTCACCTAGTGAACCCATTGTGGATTTCATGATTCAGCGAAATATGGAAGTGCTCGAGGAATTTGAACCACTAGTTACACCTCATGCAACCAAAGTCTTCGTCAATGGTGTTTGGGTTGGTATTCATCGTGATCCCGCCCACTTGGTCAGCACTGTCCAATCACTACGTCGACGAAACATGATTTCGCACGAAGTCAGTTTGGTTCGTGACATTCGTGACCGGGAATTCAAGATTTTCACTGATGCAGGTCGTGTCTGTCGACCACTCTTTGTTATCGACAACGATCCACGAAGCGAAAACTGCGGTTCGCTGGTACTCAATAAAGACCACATTCGCAGACTTGAAGCAGACCGTGAGCTTCCACCAGATCTCGACCCCGAAGAACGTAGAGAACAGTACTATGGTTGGGAGGGTCTTGTCAAATCGGGTGTCATTGAATATGTCGATGCTGAAGAAGAAGAGACTATCATGATCGCAATGTCTCCCGAAGATCTCGAAATCTCGAAACAGCTGCAAGCCGGTTATGCTATGCCCGAAGATAACAGTGATCCGAACAAGCGTGTCCGCTCTGTTCTGAGCCAGAGGGCTCACATCTGGACTCACTGCGAGATTCATCCGAGTATGATCCTTGGTATCTGCGCCAGTATCATTCCGTTCCCCGATCACAACCAATCTCCCCGTAACACTTACCAATCTGCTATGGGTAAACAAGCTATGGGTGTCTTCTTGACCAACTTCGACCAGCGCATGGAAACCATGGCCAATATTCTCTACTATCCTCAAAAGCCTTTGGCCACCACGCGATCTATGGAGTTCCTCAAGTTCCGAGAACTGCCTGCTGGACAAAATGCCATCGTCGCCATTGCCTGTTATTCCGGATATAACCAGGAAGATTCGGTCATTATGAACCAGAGTAGTATTGACCGTGGTCTCTTCCGTAGTTTGTTCTACCGCACCTACACGGAAGCTGAAAGGAAACTTGGTCTTCAGACGATTGAGAAGTTCGAGAAGCCAATGCGCTCTGATACTCTTGGTATGAGGAAAGGTACCTACGACAAGATCGAGGACGACGGTCTCGTCGCGCCAGGAGTCCGTGTTACTGGCGAAGACATTATCATTGGTAAGACAGCTCCTTTGGCACCAGAGTCCGAAGAATTGGGTCAGCGCACCAAGGCACATACAAAGGTGGACGTATCTACACCGTTACGAGCGACAGAGTCTGGTATCGTGGATCAAGTATTGTTAACTACGGGCAATGACCCTGACCTCAGGTTGGTCAAGGTCCGCATGCGAACAACGAAGATCCCTCAAATTGGTGACAAGTTCGCGTCGCGTCACGGTCAGAAGGGTACCATTGGTATTACCTATCGTCATGAAGATATGCCTTTCACTCGAGAAGGTGTCGTTCCAGATTTGATTATCAACCCTCACGCCATTCCCTCTCGTATGACCATTGCGCATTTGATCGAGTGTCAACTTAGTAAAGTGTCTTCACTTCGTGGGTTTGAAGGTGATGCCACTCCCTTCACCGATGTCACTGTCGACTCCGTCTCTCGTTTGCTTCGAGAGCACGGCTATCAGTCACGTGGTTTCGAAGTGATGTATAATGGTCATACGGGTAAGAAGCTCAAAGCTCAGGTATTCTTGGGTCCTACCTACTACCAACGTCTTCGACACATGGTGGACGACAAGATCCACGCTCGAGCACGTGGTCCTACCCAGATTTTGACTAGGCAGCCTGTTGAGGGTCGTGCTCGTGATGGTGGTCTACGTTTCGGAGAGATGGAGCGGGATTGTATGATTGCACACGGTGCCAGTGCTTTCTTGAAAGAACGTCTTTTCGATGTGTCGGATCCATTCCGTGTTCACATTTGCGACGACTGCGGTTTGATGACGCCAATTGCGTAAGTTTTCGTCTCAAGTATTTATCATGTAATTTTAATACTGACAACGCTGCAGAAAACTCAAGAAAGGACTGTTCGAGTGCCGACTTTGCAACAATAAGCACCGTATTTCGCAGGTCCACATCCCATATGCAGCCAAGTTACTGTTCCAAGAGCTTGCCGCAATGAACATCGCCGCGCGCATGTTTACCGACCGGTCTGGCGTATCCATACGATAAATCTGATTCGAAGACCAACCCCCGCCAGCACGAGCTTGCGTTGCATTCAGAAAACCTTTGGAACTTTCCTCACCTTTGATGACATATTTGGCATTCTCAAGGCGTACAGCGTTTTAAACCACCATTTCATACATTTTAACTCTATTTGCTTTTACTTTTTTCTTCCGGCGGAGAGCCCGTTGGGAGGGAAACTCATACTCTTCGGTTTTCAGGTTGCCATCTGTTAATAATATTAAAATTCTGCTTTGGAGATAAAAAGAGGAAGATTCTCCGGCCGCAAAGAACAAAATTTTATCCAATCTGGTTTCGTCGACCTTTCACGTTCAATTTTTTGGGAAATATGCGGGCAATATTTGGTGAACACTGAATTGTATTTTTAACTATTTTGCCTAGCAGAATGCCATTGTTCCGTATACCTGGATCCTGGTCAGGTATGTCTTGATGGTGTCTCGAAGGAGCCCTGCCCAGGTGGTATATACCTAGGTACCATTCGGAAGCACTTGCCATACTAGTCAGAAGCCTGAATGATTGCCCATGAGTAATGAATGATACTACTTTCCTATTAATTGGAGAATTTCACATACCCACTATCCTGCTAATGGCCAATTCTTCTGGGATCTTTATGCCTGTTGCTGGGTCCAACAAGCCCACACCGACAGTAGTGGGCAGATTCTTCAGAAAAATTGCAAGGATAGTCTCCATGGATGTATAGTGGAAGAATAATAAGACTACGTAACTCGTATAGAAGCAGGCTCTACCCTTCCATCAAGACAGACAGTAAACGAGACGGCTGGATGGCATGATGGATGAAAAATATGCAAGCAAGGATGGTGTACGTCGATAGCTTGAATCAAGATACGCAATGAGATGTTGTGACTTGTGAGTGGTGAGATGTGATAACCCTAATTCATCCTAATTCATAAGGGCGTCAATTGCCGGACTCCAGTTGGCCAGAAGCAGGAGCATCATTCTCCTTCTGTTTACAACGCATTAGCCAATCTGGTGCCCCGCTCTATTCTTAGAAAGGCCATTCATGATTCGATTCGATCCGAGCCGCACGGGCTACCACGGATCCTTCATTGAGCTTAAGTTGAAGTCATCTGTGGTCCCTCCCCCACGTATCACCAATCATCTCTCGCATTTATGCGCCCATCACGCCCTTTGCATCACCCCGCTCAGCCATTGGCAGATATGTCAGTTGCACCCTAATCGGAACATCACACTTGGTCATCGGCTTTTTCGTCTTGTTTATCTGCAGAGCAACGCTGGGCTGAACCCCACTCTCGAACAGCTCAGTCAACCAGCGACCGGCTTTTCGCGCGGATGTCCTGCAAGAGCTGTCCGCGTGCTCTAGTTGGGTGAATTTCCGTGGATTTAGGGTCAAATCTAGAAGCCATCCGAAGTATACACCGGGCCATGGGTCATAGTGTCGTTGACAGGTGTGGTTGGTTCGCCCACCCCCGGGGCTCGCATTTGACATAAAGATGGCTGCTGTGCCGCCATCAACTTTTTGAAACTTTTTCCTTTTCTTTCTTTCTTCAGCAAGCTTTTTTTTTGTTCGAGCTGCCCTTAGTTTATCAAAGTTTGCCAAGTTGCACTGGCTGCACTTGTTTCGTTGTGTTTATTGCCTTGAATAATTCTGATTCCTTCCCCTTTCACTTACAATCAACTCGATCGAGCTGTGCTCGTTCAACTAATCAGCTATTCTTTTTGACCTTATACAACAATTTGGTCAAACTTTGATAAACTAGACAATTTTATACCAACCAAGCTTCATTGTCGCCGGTCGACAATTGTGTTGTGCAGCTTGAATCTTGCTCGAAACCGACTTATCGTTTCTTTTATATTATACACTAATTATTTAATTATTCTTTGTTCGATCTTTCATCACTGCATATCAAAATGGCCGCTGTTCAATTGAACTTCTCTATTCGCACTTCTCGAAGCGTTAAGTCAGTGCACCTCGTCGGATCCTGGGACAACTACTCTCGTGAACTACCCTTGTCCAAGGATACTTCCAAGTCAGGAGCATGGACCGGCAAATTCCGCTTCCAGACCTCGGTCTTGCAACTCGGTGGTCGTTACTGGTACTACTACATCATGGACGGATACCACGTCTCTCACGACCCTGCCGTAGAGTACACCACTGAGCCCACCACTGGCCGCAAACTCAACATCCTCGACGTTCCAGGTGGTAACAGCAAGTCAAGCTCCGGAGGTCGCTCAAGCCATGCTCGTCGCGAGTCCGTCGATATCCCCAAGGGTCGTGCTTTGTCCCCTTCCAAGATTCAGCACCCAAAGCCTTCCAAGCCCTACGCCTCCCGCGGCATTCGTGAAGGTGACTACTTCCCCACCGTCGACGAATTGACAGATCGCTTCTCGCACTCACGTCTGTCCGACGACTACGACTCATACTCCAGCAGCCCTCCAAGCTCAGTCGGATCATCCCTCTCCTCACGCACAGACAGCACTTCGCCATCTTCGCTGTCCTCGCTCAGTGATCCCGCTACTTCCGTGTGCCGCTGTGAACGTTACGGAATTACTCGCAAGGGTGATCGCGTCAAGCTCGACTGTGGCGGTAGCCGATGTGGTTACTCCGACTCTTCGGATGGTAGCGACTGCTCCTCTGAGTCTGAGTCCGACTCTGAGTACCGCGCTGCTCGTCGTGGTGCCCGTCGTCAAGGCATTGTTGTTCGCCGATGAAGACAGAAATGATTTCTTTGCAGATTTTGAATCCTTTCCTCTCTAGTCTTCATGGTAAACAGTTTGCATTTGCATTCGCCTATTGAGCCGTTTCAGATTACTGGGAAACCTCATATCACTCCTTTTTTTTGTGAAAAAGAAAGACACAGTTTTGGGCAAGTCGCATTCTAGGAGAAGACGCTTTTATATTCAGTATGAATACTCATGCGGAACGATGATTATGCAGTCAACGATCTACTCAATTCGAATTCTCGAACATATTTTTACGACAATAATTAAACCGAAAAGAAACAGAAAAACGACAAAAAAAATCGGAAAACAACAAAAATAGCATTTCAATACATATTCCATATTAATTAATCTCAACGACAACCTTCCATGAACCGGCTGTGTGACAGATCCTACAACGACAATGACAACAAGTATCAGGACTACTCATTCTAGTTAGCCACCCATAACCCAGCGTCCACGATTTGAGCTGGTCTCTCTTCGTGTTCATGATGGGTTGTGAACGATTGATTAGCGCAGTTTGGCCACTTATGGATTTAAATCTTCCAGGAAGAATCTTAATTGGAAAAGCCTGCCTATGTTTTCATATGGTTACTTGATCGCTTTTGGTCAGAGCAATATATATGGAAGCATCCCAGCAGATATGTTTGATGGTGATAGATTGGATTTTCTATCTGTCATATGACATCTTGTTGTAGGGATAGTTAGGTAGCTTAAAATCGATGATCGATCACTTGACAATCTATAATTTATATATCGTGTGAGGGAAAGTATCTCAAACAAAGAGGAGAACAAATAAAAGGAGAATATAAAGTTAACCAGGTAGCAAATACGTAAATGTAATATGTGGCTCCCCTGGGTCCTTTGTAACATGACTCCTTGAGAAGACATGCATGCAAGCATCTCTATGCCGTAGCAAAGCTAGTATGAATACAATTTGCAATCATGACTTAACTTGGCATGCCGGCATTACGTCGCGTATGCATCTTCCAGCCATCATAATTCCCAAGTCTGAGATTAGGTCCACTCTGAGGTTTTTGATTATAGCACTTTGAACTATAAAGATTATGAAGATCCTGAAGCCTGCAGAAATTGGCAGTCACATGGCCAAGGGGTTCATCAAAAAGAGCTTGCCTAGGTGGTAATTACCAACGATAGAAGCTCGAAGCACTTGTAGACTTATGGGTGAGCAGGACCATAAGATGACCCTAAACAAGCATCTCGTCGCTCACAATCTTGTCCGGCAAGACCTCAACTTCTCCATAATATGTAGGAAAATATGAACATATCCAGCTACACAGCAGCTTGGACGAAGTGGTAACCGTATCATGTACGAGAATTTATGGGAAGGGTTCCAAGAGTCAAATTCTTGTGCGCTTATCCCAAACTTTAACTCAATTGTAGCACAGTTATCGCCTGACGAGACTAGATAAATTCATTATAATTGGAGGAAAGACCAGGCTGAAAACTCGCTTATGTCAATCCCAAGTCGGCGGCAAAGGTTACACAAGTATCTCCACTGCTGGCAGACACGCTGAACTCGCATGTCATCATTTGGCGTGTGTTCAGGACGCGGGCAGAGAGCAAATCAGGGAGCAATCCTAAGATGATGTACGGCACAAGGCACATTTTTGGCTCTTGCATGCTTCGTAGGGATGAGATACAATGAGTAGTAAAGGTGATCAAGAAACTCGTCACGATTTGGGCAGATCCTTGATGATTGCGACTGTACCCAACATGACAATTGAAACCATTTTATACTCGCACGAGGAGGAGCATAGTGTCCATGCTAGATTGTCCGCGCTGAATCCACGGTTCTATGAAGAAAGAGGCGAATTGTCGGAGAATATTGATATTATAATGTGAGTTATTCATAGCATCGTGGCAATCGTCGCCTTCTGCATGTCCGAGACCTCAGTACTGAACACTGAAATACTCGTAATAGCGGATATAACAACTTATGAAACTTGAAGACCCTGTTTTTTCCTTCGGAAGTTCATTGATGTCTCGATTAGCTTGCTTGTGTGGGTCCGGGGAATGTGGGCCGCGGATGTATTTGATGCTCCCCCACTCAATCGCTAACTTGCATCTGCATACGTTGCAGATCCATTCAATGGTCGACATTTCTTTGTTGTCTCCTGTTATCCATCTCTTTTCTCTTCTCTAAGTTCTCTTCGTCCATTTTTTCTTTTTTTTATATTTATTCTCGCATTCTGCTCGCTCCTCTAAACATTAAAACCTTCACAGTCAACATGTCATACACCTTAGCTTTGTTTGTCACCTCGCTTCTCAGTGATGCCGGGACCGGGGCCGTAACATTCCCAGCCATGGTGAAAGTCGATCTCTTGTTCCCATGCAATGATGCATACACAGCAGCTCGTCTCATACCGATCATTTTGCTATTCAGAATAATGCATTTGCATCATTCATTGAGCCTTATATTCAATTTTCCGTCAGGAGCAGCACCAGTTTTTCTGACTACATCGGCTCCTCATTCGTGGATTTCAATAATGCAAGCTTCTCGAGCAGTGACCCATACTATGTCTGCAGCTTTATTTACGGCTTGAATGGCATCGAAGACCACTGGGAGCGTTCCTGGCCCTTGAGCACGGGCAACTGTTCAGTATCTCCAGAAGGAGGCGCACTAAACATTACCAACCAACACCAAGACAAAACTTTTTTTCACCACCCGAAATGGTACCAAAGAGTCGAATCTTGTAGCTGATTCGGCCAATAGCGCCTGCATTGGCACCGACGACATCTATACTTTCAACGTCACCGGAACTCTGGATATGGCGGCAAAAAACAAATTTGACGGTCAAAATTCATGTGCTATTCTTTCGCCTATAGCTCCAACTGCGGACCCATGCGGTGCGGCTGCAAACTTCGCGGCCTTGTCGAGCATTTCCGCTGCTATTACGTCTACTGCTTGCGTTCTTCAATTCTCATCCATGAGATGTCCACCCACCAGCCACATTTCAGCTAAAAGAATTGCATTATTTCCTGCTTGGTGGTTGATAGGATTACTCTTTGTTGCATTGGAGTTTCTTTTTTCTCTAAATTTATGTCCGGTCAGATTTTACTACTCGCCAGCGAGTGTTCATACGATATGATTCCTACAGTAATATACACCGCAGATAAAGGCATCTGTACGAACGCGGCAGAGTCCAACTAAAAGGCGGAGATCAATAAAATTGCAGGAAGTGCTAGCGGAGTCACGACTTCCTATGTCAACGAAAAAAGCAACAGCAAAATCCTTGTTTATGACGATACCCAATGGGTCGCTTACATGGATGACACGATAAAGGTTGAACGCATGGCTTACTACCAAGCTCTAGAAATGGGCGGCGACACACTTTAGGCTACCGACTTTTCGAAGTATAATAGCGCCCGCTTATCCGAGTACCAGTTGAGCTCAGTTCGTCAACCTTGCTGCTATTGGAACGGATCCGTATGCGGATGGCAACCGGACCAGCAACTGGATGACTCTGACCTACGCCGACCAATCTGTCGAAGATATCACCGACCTCAATCCAAAACGGCAGTGGGACATGATGGACTGCCCGAATACCTGGGCAGATGCCGTCAATGTCTGGCTCAAAATCGATCAACTTTCCGGGGAGCTGAACTTTATTGAGTCGGTATCGATCACCATTCACAGGCCCTAAATGGCCAGCTGTGGAGATTATAGCAACCTCAACAATTGTGTTCAAACCCTGACCTGCACGGAAATTGAGGGAGGTGGTACTGGCCCGGCTGGTTACGGGATTTTCAACTCAATGGTCATTGTGCACGAGGTGAGCCCACAAAATGACAACCCACTCATAACAAACCTCCTGATTGTCATGATTATAATGGTTGACTTCTATGATCCAGATATATTCAACCTATATTAATGCCTTACATGATACCTTCAGTGACGTGATAAGTCCGGTACTCCAAGACCTGGAAAACAAGTTCGTGCCTGTCAAACCCAGAGAGCGACGAATAACTTGACGTTCTGCTCTCTGTAATTGGCTTCATAGGAACCGTCGGCAGTTCGGTATTTTTCAACTCATGTACGTATTGCCTCCCCTTTCCATCCTTGCTCACATATCTTCTTCCCCCTTTTCCTCTTTGTGTCAGATCTGGATTACCAAATTAGCTACCTACTAACATAAATATTACGGAAAGTTTTGTCTGCCATGTCGTATGTCAGGGCCAACAAAGCTCTGTACGACAACTTGAAAGATACCAGCAAGGCCCTCGTGTCGTTTGGCACAAGTATGACTTCTGCCATTCATCAAGGAAGCATAGCAAAGTAAGCTGTCTCACAAATATCTCCTACCTTCATCCGGTTCCAAAGTCCACTATATGGGCAACTACTAATGCTGACACGCGTTGCAGTGGAAACTGGAGCGCTCAAGACCAGGCCGTGTTCTCCCAGTGCATGGGGGCAGGGCCATCTTGGTTGATCAAATTCGACCGCGATGGCATTTACAGAGCTTTTCAGCGGCGAGGAAGATGGACCGACAGCGCTCACCAACCTTAATTCAGACGGGAAGTTGATTGAAGGCGCCGTTGACGGCAAAGAAGGTAACCCACTTGGGGACACCAAGAGTTCTTACTCCGCACTGGAGGTGATTGTTGCCAAGTCGTTTTTCGCTTTTGCAATTCCAGCTACCTGGAACTTCTCAAGCACGTACGCGTTTGTCGTCGACTCGGGCTTCTCATACGCTACCAGCAACCCGCTCTCTGCATACACGAGCAACGATGGCATGACCGCCTCAGGGTATTGCTATAACAACGATATGTATTACCTGGTCTAACCTCTCGAATCATCCCGCCCCTGTACAACCGATTCTCACGGAAATCAAGTATGCTCCGACTATATTTGTGGCAGCTCTAGGTATCGAGTCCCTGGATGGTACATTGGGGTGGGGGGGGTGGGGTCACTCTCGCAGATCTCATTGTCGGCGCAATCGCCCATCCCACCAACTCGGGCACTCTGGACCAACTATACAATCAGAACATCATAAAATATCACCGCGCCAGGGTATGTCACGGTTCTGGTCTGCAGCCCCGCTACGGCCCAGGAGGCAATCAGCGCCAAACAAAGCACCGTGCACAACTATCAACTATCCCTGTAATGCACTGCAGGCGATCAGCGACTGTGGCGAGTCGGCATTCGTCGATCAGACCAGTAATGCATCCCCAAGTGTCCACGGCCGCCTGCAGATCGTGAAGAACATCCAGAATACACTGGGCAAGTGGATGTAACAGTACTGAAACAGTACAACATGATATCTGTGACAAGCCACACCAACTGGATGGACAACGTGAGGTCTCCTGTCAATGACTCACGCATTCATAAGAAGGAAGTTCCTTGTAGCTAGGATTCTTTTCTTCTCAAGCTTCAGTCTCTGTATGTTAGCTACAGGACCTTTGCTAATGAAGATTGAAGACACCAAACACTTCGGCCATATTGATAATTCCTCCTGTCCAACTCTTGGATTGACCTCCTATTACAGCGGGAGGTGGAAAATGCCGTCAAGAAACAGCGCCAGCCAGCTGGTGCAGTATGGCAGCTGCAAATTTGGCGTCCAGGGCACAGCTATGAAGGGAAACGTCGACTTCCATGTTTACGCTCAGCACATTATTAACACCATCCATTCATCCATCAGCAAGTTTGCTTCAAACGGCTTGATTGATTCCAAAGGTTCTATGAACCGCAATGGCGACGTGAAGCAGCAGCCGGTGGAAGGGGCCCTTTACTAATGCATTCCC